AAACTTTAATACTCAATTCATCAATCAAAGGTCTTATTCGATTATTTGACTTTAGTTAATGAAATTTTTTTTACATACAAATTGTGTTTAAAAAATTGTAATGGTAACATCAATAACATTTTTAATTACAACACTATAGCATATTTAGCTTTCTATTGATAGATAGAAATGTTATACACTGGTGGCCAAAAGTGTATATCCATCAACAATTTTTTTTAAAAATATTCAAAAACAATTTTTTTAATTTTTGAAGTTTTTTTATTATTTTTTTTGGTTTTTAAGGATAACAATAATATAATTCAAAATATATGCGAAATAATATAAGTGAGATTTAGTTTATTTTGATGCTTTTGATTTAGAAACAACAAAACGTGGTGCAATATATGAACTTTATAAAGAAGATTTTAGTCAAAGATAAATTGCTAAAAAAGTTAGTGTATGTAAGCAAACTGTTCAAATAAATATTAAAAAAAGAAAAGATGGCTGTTTAGAGACTTGCAAAAGATCTGGTCGACCAAAAATTATTAACAAAAGAGGTGAAAATTTGATAAAAAGAATGGTAGAAATAATCCAAGAATTTCGTCAAAGGAAATTGCTGCTGATTATTCTAACATTAAACCTGTTTTGGCAAGGACAATTAGAAGACCACTGTCTGAAGATTTGAATTTAAAAGCATACAAACCATGCAAAAAACCATTATTGTCAAAAAAGAATATTTGTGACCGTATAACTTTCTGCAAGCGTTACAAGCACTGGACAGAAGATGATTGGGGTAAAGTTTAATTTTCAGATGAATCTTTAATACAACAGTTCCAAGGATCAATACAATATGTCAGAAGGCCTCCTTTGCAAAGATACAATCCCAAATACAAAACTCGTTCAGTAAAAAAATCTGCTAGTGTGATGATATGGGGCAGCATTTCTGCACAGGGACGTGGTGGATTATGGTTCATGCCACAAAATACTACAATTACTGCTAAAGTTTATATTGATATCCTCAAGGAAAAATTGAAAACTTTTATGGACATTCATAACACCTCTTACTTTCAACAAGATGGTGCTCCTGTGCACACTGCCAAAATTACAACAAAATGGCTAAGTGATAAAGGGATTGACAAGCTTGAAAACTGAACGGGCAACAGCCCAGATCTAAATGTTATCGAAAACTGTTGGAGCCAAGTCAAAAGAGAAGTTAACAAAAGAAATCCAAGCTCTGTTGAAGAATTGAGGAAGATTATTATTGAAGTCTGGTGCACTAAACTTGACCTTTCATTCTGTCAAAAACCTGTGCGGTCAATGCCTGGCCCTATCAAGGAAGTTTTAAAAAACAAAGGCTATGCTTGTAAATATTGAAACTATTTAAACTATTGAAAATATTGTTGCAACTTAATTTACACACATTAATGTCTTACATAAAATTAAGGTTTTATGATAAAATGTTTAAAAATTCGTTTTTTTTAGGGTGGATACACACTTTTGGCCACCAGTGTCTATATTGGTGTGTACTTGGCAATCTTTTTGCAATCAAAAATATCAAAGAATTTAAATTAAATTTTGAGTAAAAAACGAAATTAAGAACAAGTGTATTATATGAATATTGGATTAATGGAAGTAATTGCACAATTAGACAACAATATATGTAATTCAGGAAAACATGAAGACAACAATATAGATAATTCAGGAAAACATGTTTAACATGTACAAACAAATTCAGTAACAAAACGTACAAACAAAACATGTATAAATAACTTCAGATGTACATGTACAAACAAATTCATTCACAAAACATGTTCAAACAAATTCAGGAAAACAGAAAAAAAAAAATATAGATAATCCAGGAAAACATGAAGATTTATATAATAGAGCATAAAGGCTCTGTGCCTATATGCTCTAATAACATTTGACAACAAAAGACTGTAGATATGACTTAAGGGGTAAACAGATTCTATCTATTGACTAGTTTTGCACTCCTTCTTCATCTATTAGGCTGGCACAATTTTATTTTTAACACATTGTTTCCAGTTTAGGATCTTAAGACTGCACTCTTCTTAATGTTATTTTGATCATATTGATCAAGCTCTCTCCTTATCCATCAGCCATAATTGTTGTTGTCGGTGACTTTATTGTTCATCTCACTGAATGGCTTGGCTCTAGTGTCAGTGACTATGCAGGCATTAAAGCCCACAACTTTTGCCTCTCTCAATCCCTAACTTAAATAGTCAACTTTTCAACTCGCTTTCCAGACTACCCAAATCGTTTACCTTCTCTACTCGACTTGTGTCTTGTTTCTAATCCTAGTCAGTATTCAGTTTCTCCACATTAGGTGCCTCTGATCACAGTTTGATCTCTGTAAACTATTATCTTATTCTTCTTTATCATCAGACTCCCCTTATTATCTCACATCTTACAACTATCTTTAAGCTGATTGGGACTTTTTCCGTGATTTTCTTTGTGATGGCTCTTGGGTAGCAAACTTTCGTCTTCCTGTTGACAAATGTGCTTCCTGTTGACAAATGTGCTTCCTGTTGTGCTTCCTGTTGACAAATGTGCTTCCTGTTGACAAATGTGCTTCCTGTTGACAAATGTGCTTCCTCTTGACAAATTCAGGCTGGCATGGAGTCTTTTAATCCCTCTTGACAATTCCAGGTCATGTCTCACTTTTCTCCATGGTTTTCCTCACATTGTGCTGCTGCAATTTCTGATCGATACTGTTATTTCCATATCTATCAGTAAAACAATTCTCCAGAAAACAGATGTCTGTTTATTACTGCTAGGAACCATTGCAAAAAGGTTTTGTCTAACGCCAAAGCCCCCTATTCTCAGATCATGAAATCTGGTATTTCATCTTGAAAATTAGGCTCTCATGACTTCTGGAGAATCTTTAATAGTATCAATAATAAGGGAAAGTCAGTAATTCCACTCATTTTGTATGGTTCAGACTTAATCACCTCACCTAAAGACAAAGCTGAACTGTTTGCTAAGAACTTTTCATCAATATCTCTTGATTCCATTACTTGCGTTCTACCTCATATAGCCGTCAAACAGGTTGATCCATTGCTGGACATCCGCATCATTCCAGCTTCTGTATCTAAAGTGATTTCCTGCTTAGACTCTTCTACAGCTTGCGGCCCGGACAACATACCTGTTATAGTCTTGCAGAAGTGTTCTCCGCAGCTGTTGTCTACCCTTTCAAAACTATTCAACAAGTGCTTATCAGAGTCTTGTTTATTAGCCTGCTGCAAAGCAGTATCTGTTATCCCTATTTTTATAAATTCTGGAGAGCAATCTGATTCATCTAACTACTGTCCCATTAGTCTTCTTCTTATCATAAGCAAAGCTTTTGAATCTTTAATTAACAAACACTTAATCTCTTATCTTGAATCTAATAACTTACTTTCTGATCATCAATATGGATTTCGATCTTCTCGTTCTACGGCTGATTTGCTAACAGTAACAATCAATAGGTTTTATCGCACATTAGATAAAGGCCATCGCTCTTGACATTTCTTATGCGTTTAATAAAGTTTGGCATGCTGTCTTCTCCATAGGCTTTTCTTCTTACGGTGTATCTGAAAACATCTTTAAGATTATTGAATCCTTTCTTTCCAATTGTAGTATAAAAGTTTTCCTCGATGGACAGCACTCCTCTTCTTATTCTGTAACCTCAGGGGTTCCTCAAGGTTCAAATCATTGGCCCTATACTCTTTTTAATTTACATTAATGATCTCCCAGATATTCCCACATCTAAGGTGGCATTGTTCACTGATGATACTACCATTTATTCTTGTCACAATAAGAAGCCAACTTCCTCTGATTGCTTGCAGGGGGTATTTGAGCTTAAAAAGGATTTCACTTCTGCTACAGCATGGGGCTGACAGTGGCTGGTGAACTTTATTTCAGATAAAATATTTTTTAGCCAATCTTTATCGCAATAAGTTTGACCTTCCTATATTTATGAACGGTAATGTACTCGATGAATCATCTACCCTTTATATTCTAGGATTAACTCTTACTTCTGATCTTTCTCGGAAACGTTATATCAAATCTGTAGCAAAATTATTATCTGCTAAAGTTGCATCTCTTTATCGAGCTCGACACTTTCTTACTCTGGATTCTATTCTCTATCTCTATAAATCTCAAATCCGCCTTGTATGGAATACTGTTGGCATATCTGGGGTGGATCTTCTAATGATGGCCTTTCTCTTTTAGACAAGATGCAAAAACGCATTGTAAACATAGCTGGTCCTGCTCTAGCAGCCAACCTTCAACCTCTGTCACATCGTCCTAATGTTACTTCTCTTTCTCTTTTCTACAAATACTATAATGGGCACTGCTCTAAAGAGCTAGCGTCTCTTGTGCCATCTACTAAAATTCATTCTCGTGTTACTCATTGTTCAATTAAGTCTCATCGATTTTCGGTTACTGTTCCTTAGTGCTTGTCTTGTTTTTTCCCTCAAACATCAGTTCTATGAAATTCATTTCCTTCATCTTGCTTTCCTGATTCATATAATTTGCAATCTTTTAAGTCATCTGTCAATCGTTATCTTGCTCTACAACCTTCATTTTTTCTCTTCCATTACGTTCCAACATTAATTAGTGGTTGCTTGCAGTCTTGTTGGAAGCGAAGATGTTGAAAAAAAAATAATAATAAAATAATAATAATAATATAGATAAGTCTATATATCTGAAGTGTGAAAAGACCTACAGTAATCCATATTATGGGTCCATAGTATGATTAATATTCAATATAAAATAATATGAAAAAAAAAAAGCAATTACTTTAAAGGGAACAACTAGAATATTGTAAAATAAATAAATATACTTTCATAAGAATATTATGTCATAATACTTTTTGAACACACCCCGAATGTTATTCATGCCAAAATTATTTGTTTGTTTTAAATTTATATGTAACTCCTACATCCTAAAGCTTTCCTTACTCCACTACTTGAAGCTTTTCTATAATTGATTAAATATTCTAATTAAAAAAAACAACCAACCTCCATGCAATATATATAAAGTTTTGCAACTTCAATAAACTGACTTTGGTCTGTATGTGAAAATAGCATAGCTAAATGGTGAGTGATACATTTTTGAACCTCTTTGTCATTCCTGAAAAATAAAAAAACTCAGTTATAAAAAAACATTATGTAAATTGGAATAATGTATGACAAAAAAAAAAAAATTTAATGATTTTATTAACTTGTCAACAGATTATAACTATACATATTCAATATCAATATCATCTCAAAACTGAACTCATTAAAAGTGAAAAATAAACCTTTGAAGAATTTGTTGGAGTAAAAATGAGCGAATGACAGGAATTGGATCAAGCGCATAATCTGGTGTTGGTGAAAATACTTGTGTGGTTGTGGAAGAAAAAACATAATCCAGTATATACTTAATGACATTTTTATCCACTCTATCAAAATCTTTTCTTGAAAAACAAAACTCAGTAACAACTTCAGCATAAAATGAAACACACCGCTTCTTAAACTCTTCTTTTTCAAAAACCATATGCCTAAAAAAAGGAAAGAAATAGAGGTAAATAAATTCATAATTCTATATGTAACACAATAATCACATATAAGTGACCAATGGAGCAGCTATGTAGATCTGGGAGATGCGATAATAGAAACAGATTATGCCATTGGGTTAAAACCAACAGTGAATATAAAGGCTCTTTAATAAAATGGAAATAAATGGTGAAGGGGGAAGCATAGCTCAAGCTCTAGATATCCTTCGCAGTTAAAAGTAATGGCCTACAAGTTATAAGTCTACTGGTGTATAAAGTGCTTAAGCGGCTAAAAATATTGTAGAATATAGAACAATAGATAAAACAAATAGATAAAATTGAAAAAAAAAAAATATATTAAATGATAGTTAGGATAATACAAAAAGAATAAAAAAAATATTGGAAAAAAAGAATAGTGTCGGCCTTTAAGGATGACTTTAATCCCGAAGTTAAAAAACATTTGATAATCTCAAAAACTTTCCCAGAAACGCCATATGAAGCAAACTTATGATAAGGCCAGCATGCTAAACTTTATCAAAAGCTTTAGATATGTCAAAAGCAATAGCCCTTGCCTAACTGCCCTCATCTAATACATGATAAAGTCTTTCAGATAAATTAGTTAGCAAGGTAGCACAAGCTGTAGAAGAGTTTAAATGAGATATGACTTTAGCATCAGAAGTCAAAGTGATTTGGGTGTCTAATGATGAGTTAACCTGTTTAACAGAAATAGCAGGAAGAGTATGATCATTAGATTCAAAAGTCGAACTAGAAGAAAGGTTTTTTGCAAATAGTTTAATCTTATCATTGAAAAAGGTAATAAAATCACGAGTTAGAGCATTAAACATTCTTCTGGAACATTAAACTTACCTTTGTTAATGAAGCTGTTGAAGATTTTTCAAAGGTCTCTAAAGCCTAACTTTTGAGATAAGATACGAAATTCAGTAAACTGGGAATAATAGAGCTTAGCATCAGACAGCACCTTTTGACATTGATTTCTTGTAAGTTGTTCTTTTAAAAAAGTATTAAAAAAGTATTACAATAAAATATAGCAGCTGCACAAGAAGTTGAAAACTATGGAGTAGAATGAGGCTTGATTTAAAACCAATTAGATGGAATAAATGATTCCCTATCAGCCTGATCCCAGGAAGTTTTATTTGAGGCACATTTATCAGCAGAGAGAGAGAGAGAGAGAGAGAGAGAGAGAGAGACAACAGCCCAATCATTAAAAAAAAATTAAGAATACCATAAAAAGAGTAATATCAAGTAGTTTGATGATCAAATCATCAAATAGAAGTATGAGATGAAAGATTTAGAGAGATCACTGCATGACGGAACCATTGAAAGAAGAACAAGCAGAAACTGAACACAAGCTAAGATCAGAAACAAGCCAAAAGTCAAGGAGTGAAGATAAGAGATAAGGGTTCTTTAGAAAACAAGCCGCAAAGTTATATATTTGAGTAAAAAATTGAGAAATAAAGAAGTTATGAACTTTAGCGCCTGCAGAATGTTAGAGTCATTCAGCGAAAAAAAGCTTGAATAATTGGGTCAGAAAATCTAAAAGTAAGAAGTCTTGAGAAGGAGGAGAAAGACAAAGGCGTTAAATGAACAAATGAACAAATACAAAAATGATCAGAGGATTCAAACCTGATTTCTCAACAAATAAGTGAATTAATCTGTATGTATACGCCCAAGTCAAGCATGAATGTATAAAAAGAAATAATTTATACCAAAAAGTAAAATATACAAAAAAGAAAATGTACCTTCTTTCTAAACTTTCTTGAAATAAATCTCTATCACTAAATTCAGAAAAACATTTTGGGCACCTCATTGTTTTACAAACAATTGTATGCATACATTCATCATGAACAGTTCCACAGCATGGAAGAGTATATGAAGCTTCATTGCAATTATTAACTAGACAATCTTTGCTACTAATAAAATATTAAAACAAATTTAATACATGCAAGTAATAAAGAAATAAATTATAGTTTTATTAATAAAAACATTAAGAAGCCCCAGCAAAAAAATGTTGATCAATAAAGATTTTAGTTCTTATAATTTCTGATATACTTTGTTGCACTGAATTACTAAAAATGAATAATTTTCTAAGTTATTGTGGTATAAGTTAAGTTAATAAAGTGTAAAAATGGAATTTAAAAGGATAAAAACCAAAAATTTTTTCATAACAAAATATAAAAAACTTTTAATAATATATAAGCTACAGTGCTTAAAAAGACACGATCAGCGTAGCCACAGCCTGGGTTTTTTTGTAGGAGATGTTATTCAAACTAATGCGCTTTGAAAAAAAATATTATTTAAATTAATGCGCTGAAGCTAATTTATATAAGAATTTTTTGGCACTCTCCAACATTTAAACCCAGCCAGTGGCTGGACACAATGAACAACTCCAACTTTATTCATTAAAATAAACAAACTTTAACAAAAATTGAAATTGATAAATTAGAATAAAGTATAAGAATTATAAAATATTAATAAAATAAATAAGAATTACAAAATATAAATAAAATGAAAGTTAATAATAAATAAGATTTATAAAATATAAAGAAAATGTAAATAAAATATAGTAAATAAGAATAAGCATAAAATATAAATATAACAATTTAGAATTAACAATTATAGAATTATATTAATAAATATAATTAATAAAACAATGATTAGCATTGATTAAAAGTTATAGTGATTAGGGTGGAAATTTAAAACGCTGATCGTGTCTTATTAAGCACTATAGCTTATATATCATTAAAAGTTTTTTATATTTTGTTATGAAAAAATATTTTGGTTTTTATCCTTTTAACTTAAATTAATTAAGTTTAAGGTTTTGGTAAATATTTGATGGTAAAACATTGCTAAAAGAATAATAGTGAGTTTTAATAAATTATAATAAAAACAGTGATAATAAAAAATTTATAACCATATGACATAACAAATTTTACTCTTACTAGAAATGTTATTACTATTAACAAATATTAAAAAAAACATTAATTAATATACTACATGTTAGAATAATCTGTTGCAAGAGACTCTTTTAAAAATTCTTCAATCATAATCCATGAATCATGGGTCAGCATATCATTTGAAAGAGTTTCCAATTTCTAAAGTTAATTATGTAATAAACAATAATTTATTAAAAAGTACATTTGTAGAATAAAAATTTACTATCTAATTTAGTTATTTAGTAAATTAAATAAACCTTGAAAACAAACTATATAAATATATATGAAGCAGGTTAGCCTGGTCATTACACAAGTGTATTTTAATTTCTCATGTTAAACATTAATACCATATTGAGTATTGAGAAAAAATATATCAAAGTTTTTAAACAATGTTAAAAAAAGGAAAGTTTCAGTAAAGAATTATTATATAAACAACCATCGTTGTTCGACCCTAATTTCAAATGTTGTATATATATATACAAATATATATATATATATATATATATATATATATATATATATATATATATATATATATATGTATATATATATATATATATATATATATATATATATATATATATATATATATATATATATATATATATATATATATATATATAGTATATATATATATATATATATATATATGTATATATATATATATATATATATATATATATATATATATATATATATATATATATATATATATATATATATATATATATATATATATATATTGCAGTACTTCTTTGTAAATAATATTTTGTGTTTTCTGATTTATAACTAAAATGAATAAATCATTACAACCACTTACTCTTGAACAAACTTTAACTTTTTTAAATTCATTTTTAGGCGAATTACTTCATGATAATTAACAGAATAAAATCAATTTTTTGGCTTTTAAAATTGCGCCATTATGTGTTAAGAAAACACTTCAAGACTTTTTCGTTTTTAAGTAATCTTAACACAATATTCAAACTTATAAAAGATAAACAAAATTGAAGATAACAATTTTTTTTTTCGTCTTAAATATTAGGAGTGTGTTAGCGGCAAATAATAGGAGGGTCTAATGGTATAAAACTAAATTTTTAAGAACTTTTTCTAGTTTAACCACTTTTGATTAAACAGCTTTTCTCACTGATTTAAATTATAATTTTTTTTTTATTACAAATATTTAGCCTCCTAATTCAATTTAAAAAATAAACATTTTGAAAAAACTATTAAATTAAAAAAAAAAAAAAATTTTATTAAAAAAAATATTATTAGCAATTATAAAATTATAAAATAAAGTCAAAAACGTGGAAAATACTTCTATTATGATTTTATTAATGAAATACATTATCAATATGGTTAGTTATAATTAAAACAAAAAATTAGACATTATAATACATGACAAGTTCTGTGACAAGTTTGTAAAATAAATTATCTAATTTTTTTCCTTTAATTCTCTCTCCCAAATTCATCTTTTCCCATTTTCCCATACTTTTCAAGTCTTCTGTCAACTTTTTCCTTGCTTTTTAACAATATTCTTGTAACTCACAACTTAATAGTTGTTGAAAGATTTTAGTTGCTAATAAATAACTTTTAAAAAGTTTATTTAAAACTCTCTCTAACACTCGATGTAGTTAACTAGTTATAGAACAAACAACTAATCAAATTGAGTTCATACTGACTTCAATGTTATTTAATTTATTTACTCTAACAACTTGATTGATACTCCATAATTGTTTTTTCCTCTAAACTCATAATACTTTCCTCTATGAATTTAAAAGCAAAAGTCCAAATTTGCTAAAATATGTTTGCAAAAGTGATTCAATCATTCAAGTTCTTTAACAAGTACTTAATAACTACTTCTACAACAACAGAGGAGTAATTTTTTAAATTGAGGTTCTCCATAAGTTGTTTTGATACAAACAATTTAATATACTTTTCTCTTTATTTGTTTAAAATACTCTTGTATTTACTTCTTAAAAAAACCAGATCATCAAGATGAGTGCCTGACAATCTACCTCTAAAGTTTGTAAAAAACAATCCAGTTGAACTTAACATTCTTTCAACATTGGATAGACAAATAGTTCAAAGAACGTTATGAAGCACATCTAAATTATGTGAAGGTGGTTAGTAGCTTAGTATCTAGTAGTTAGAAGCTTTAAACAAATTGAAATCTTGACACATAGTTTTGTTTGTTGCAATTAACTTCAAAGTCATATATTTTTGTCTTAAGATTTTCCAATCTTTCAGTCATAGATTCAGACGGCTGAAATCAAATGATGTTATTATATAAAACTTTCTGTTGTGGAAAAAAGTCTACCAGTTATTTTGATAGCTTGATTTATCATAACTATTTTAGATGCAAAGTAGGTTATCATCCTTATCACTTTTGACATATTGTGGATTATCAAAAAATTTAGTAAGTAAAAAAAAAAGTGTTAGTAAACAATATCTTTTTTCTTCATTAAGATGTTCTTTAAAATGAAGCACCTTTAAAATTCCTTGCTAAATATCAATTTTGATCATTTAGTTCTTGCGTGTCATAAGCTGTTAAGAGATTGCTTCAGCTCTACAAATAATTTCATAAGGCAATAAGTTCTAGACATTTTGCTAAATTTTTAACTACTTTAGGTTTGTCATCAGACAACATTAGTTTTTTCTAAACTGACATACACCAGAGTTTTACGATCTGCTTTTTTAACTTTAAGAAAGCTTTGAACCATGATCAGCCTTGATGTACAATGAGTTGTTATGCAAACTAAAATAGTGGAAAGACTTAAAACATCATTAGGTTTTTGATAAGTAATTTTGATAAATAATTCAAGCAATCATTTGAAAACATTCTCTCTAATCCAAGATTAATAACGTCTAAGTCTTGAAGTGAAGATTTGTATTCATAAATCTACTGCTATGTTTTGAATAATTTTCCAAAATTTGGTTCTCCAAAACTTGAATTTTATTCTTTATTTCAAGTATTTTTATTAAGTTTTCTTTAATTATTTCCATATAAATATTATAGATAAGATTTATGACAACAGTATTTTACTTTGGTAGAATGTAACCTTTATTACAAAGCAACTCACAAACTTGGATTAAATCAGCATTTATAGGAAATTTATCAATAGCAGCAAATCAAGACAATCATATCCCTAATGAAATTTTTTTTTGTCATGGAAGTGGTTTGTCTTGTGGATTTTTTTAAAATGCCTTTTCAATCCAACATCCAACAGTGGAACCACCTTTGCTAATGGTAGTTTCAGCACTACCAAAATCCTTAGCAAGATTTCTACTTTCAGCTCCATACATGAAAAAAAAAAAAAAAGAACATAATGAAAAAAAAAATGAATATAAGAAAAAAAACATTTTAAATTTTTTTTACATTTTCTAGCCTTTCTATTAGCAAGTTAGTTATCAACAAGTTAGATTAAGACTTAGGTTTATATCAACTTAATCTTAAAGAAATTTTTCTCTGGTGGGTAAGTAAGGGGAATTTTGTTAGCTGAAATTATTATTGAAAGGCTAAACAGTTTTTTGAAGTAGCTGATTGGCTGTGTGAGATTACAGTGATCTACTTAGATCACTATAATCTCATTGCATCATGTAAAATGATCACATTTACACTCATGAAACTTTAAAGGTTCAAACAGATTAGAAGATTAAATGATTCAATTGACTTATACTTAAACTTTAAAAAATCATCACATGTTTTTAAGACATGAAAAAAAAAAAAAGAGAAGAAAAAGGAGAAAAGAAAATTATTGACAATGTTAATGATGAAAAAAATCTATGAAATCTATGCACATTTTATTTTTGTTTGTTTAAAACAAAATTTTATGATAACTTAATGAATGTGTACTTTTGTCCTTCTGTGGCATGTCTTTCCATGACATTAAATAACTTAGGTTGATTTGGAATAAATTTTTTTTTTAAAATATTTGGTAAGAAAATCTTTTTAAGTTTAACTTAATGGTTTTATACCTGTTAAAGGCACTTTTTTGCTGTATCTCTATTAGGTTTGATAGAATTTAGGCCTTAAGTAAAAACTTGATTTTATAGCCTTTCTACCATTTCTTCTGTGATGCATGTTTTAAAGACCTATAGCAGAAACTTTAAAACTCTACAATCATTACCCCAATTACTTTAGAGATTGTTTGTAAAATAGTATCAGAATCATCTTTGCATTTTTTTCAAATTTTCAATTTAGTGTAGCCATTTCCTTCCATGATAAAAACAATACTTTTCAACCTGGTCCAATAATAATAAGTTATAGTAAAATCATTTAATAATAAAGTTTATAAAATTATGAAACAAATTTATAAAAAATATGGTAATATTAAGTATGTTTACAATGAAAACTTAATTGAAAGTCTGGTTTTTGATATGTCAATAAGCAATAGCCCTTGATTCAATACCTCAATCTAATAAATGATAGAACTTTTATATTAAAAATGTAAACAAGTCAGCTGTAGAACAAAATGATCAAAACCCAAACTGTTATTACAAGCAAACTGATATTGTTAGAGAGTATTGAAAAGAGTTCTGAAGAATGTTTTCATAAAGACATAAATGTTGTTTGGACCACAAGCAGTTAATGTGTTTAAGAGAGAAATAATTGTAGGAAGGAAAACCAGGGTGATTTAGATTTCTGACAAAAGATTTACCAGTTTCTCTGTAGTGACAGAATATTTGTAATCATTATTTTCACAAGTTGAAATGGAATAACAGTTCTTGCAAGTAGTTCTGCCTTAACCTTGGGAGAAGTAGTACAATCAGATCTATGTATTAAAGATGGAATGATAGACTTGCCTTTGAAAAAACACTGTTAAAGATTTTCTGAATGTCTCTAACCTAACTTCTGAGATAAGATATAAGATTTAAAAAACTGAAAATAAAGGAGCTTAGCACCAGAAAATATTTTTTTACATTGATTTTTGCAATAAATATTTATCAAATGATTATCAAAGAAACTTCCCAAGAAGCTGACAATTATGGGGTATAGTGGGGTTTGCCTTAAAACCAACAAGAAAGAATTAAAGCTTCTGCACTAACCTGAATCCAGGAGATTATAGAGGCAAAATTATCAGAAGAGACAAAAGACATTAGCCCAAGGACCATTACTAAGAAAATCACAAATTGAGTCCCAGCCAGCTTTAAAGAATAGGAAGTAAAAAGATAAGATCTGATGAAGAAATATAAGAGTGAGAATAAATTTGATTGAGATTATTGCATGGGACAAACCACCCAAAAGAGAACAAGAAGAAACCAAGCACAACCCAGGGTAAAATAAAGGAATGAAGGTGAGTGATTATAGAAAAGCTTTATATGTATATATATGTATATATTGATTTAAAAAATAAATAATATAACACCTTCCATAGCGAGTTCAACAAATCAATTTGATGGTTGCAAAAACATGTAGAGGTTTGAAACACAAGATCTGAAAACTTTTGACAGATTCTAAAATTGCACCAACGAATTCTAAATTTTAAATAAAATGAGAAAAATAAAATATTTTTTAAGGTAATTGGAATATTAAATAATTAAGAATAACATTAAATATTTATAAATGTTTAATAAATAAAACTTTTTTAAAAGAGCTGAGACTTGTTTTGAATATCAAAAAGATAATGAGTGTGTACAATGTGCATGTTGTGTGAAACAGATTGCTTACATTTTTATACAATGATTAGTTCAAATAAAACAATAAAACTTTTATCTTCAAATGAAGACATTTGCAATTTTACAAAAAACTTACTTTAATTGTTTCATCATTTTTTTTGTTAAATCATTGCATTTACATTTAATTGCAGACTCAAGAACACAATTGATCAACACTTTTGCTTTTTTAATTTCCTCAATGACACCAGGACAGAAGTGTTTAGAAGCAAGATGAGATAGAAAAAGATTCATTAAATAAACATCCATGTCCTTGAATGTTATAAAAAATAAATACTATATATATATATATATATATATATATATATATATATATATATATATATATATATATATATATATATATATATATATATATATATATATATATATATATACATATATATATATATATATATATATATATATATATATATATATATATATATATATATATATATATATATATATATATGTATATATATATATATATATATATATATATGTATATATATATATATGTATATATATATATATATATATAAATATATATATATATATATATATATATATATATATATATATATGCATACATATATATACATATAAATATATGTATATATATATATATATATATATATATATATATATGCATACATATATATATATATATGCATACATAATATATATATATATATATATATATATATATATATATATATATATGTATATATATATATATATATATATATATATATGTATATATATATATATATATATATATATATATATATATATTTATATATATAAATATACTTATATATATATATATATATATATATATATATATATATATATATATATATATATATATATATATATATATATATGTTTTTAGATATATTTATATATATGTGTGTATATTAGGGTTTGCAATCTCAGGATCCCGGCCTTTTTTATAATCCCAAAATCCCGGGATTGTTTAATATCAATCCAGGATTCCCTATACGATCGAGCAAAACAAAGGGGATATCAAAAAATATATAAAAATAACAACAATTTATGCGCATCAATATAAAAATTTTTATTTAGTTTAATTTTGCAGACAGTAATTCTATTTTCAGTATTCTATTCTGTAATTCTGCAAAATAAACTTTTTTAAACTGAAAAAAAAAAACGCCAGCCTTGTACCAACTGTTCCTCCAAAATCAAGAGTAACAACTTTATCAACTGGTACAAGAAATGTACCAGCTGATCAACTTAAGACGTTCAAAGCCATGGACTATTTGAATTTTAATGATTTGATCATTCATTAACAAGTTTGTTTAAAAATCATGTAACTGTTTTAGGCAAATGGTCAAATTTAGCTGAAGCTATAAGATATTTAACTAAAACTGAGTTATTGAAAAAAAAACAACAAGTTATTATAGAAAGTTTATCTTCTATGAAAATTTTTAATATCGGCGATACACTTAATTCTTTAAACACTATTGTTCAAGCTTTTGAATATTTTTTCTGCTTCAAGAACACTTTATAAGCGAATTAAAATGACTATCAACTCAGTGTGTCTACTCTACAAAAATTGACATCAAAAGCTTCAAAATTAAACAATGATGAATTTATTTTGCATGTTTTTTGCAAACTTACTAACCGACAACGACAGTGCATTTTAATAGTCGATGAAGCATATGTTAAAGCTTCATTAACTTATCATGATGGAGAACTTTTTGGAAATCTGTTAATTAACCAGACAAATTAGCAAAAACAATATAAGCTGTTATGATTAAATGTCTTTTTGGTGGACCCACTTTTATAGTATGCATGATTCCAGTATGTTGTCTTGATTCAGATTTTCAGTTTGAAGTAGTTTCAGTTTTCGATTTTAGATTTCGATTTTAGATTTCGATTTTCAGTTTTAGATTTTCAGTTGAAGTAATTCTATACTTGGTTCAATTTCTGATGCAAATGGAAGGCCTGTTGCAATTATATGTAAGAATAATAAAGTCAATGTAAATTTTTTCTCTCTCATTGAAACTTTTATAGAGAAACCATGGCTGACAAAAATAACATTTTTTTACTTTACGATTATGTTCATATATGGAAAAACATAAGAAATAATTGGATTACTGAAAAATTCAAGAAATTCAGTTTAAGGACAATGATGATAATTTAATTGCAAGGTAGGATGATCTTAAGAACCTTTACAACTTAGAAAGTAAGACACTTGTGGTTCTTTGACATTTAAATACAGCTTCAATCTTTCCAAAACCTGTTGAGAGACAAAATGTTTCTTTGTGTTTAACAGTTTTTTTGTGATAAAACACTTTCTACTTTATCAACACATCCTAAAATAGACCAAACCAATATTAAAGGAAAATTTCTAAAAAAGTTTATAGATGCATGGAAAATTATTATTCTTCACAAACTGGGTGATGATAAAAGGTTAATAGACCCATTGCGCTCTGTCATCGAATTACCAGATGATCTTCGTCAGTAACAGCTACTTTCATTATCACATATCTGTAAAGATATGGATTGCCATACTGGAAAAAAAAATAAATTAAAATACTGAGTGTTGAAACATCTAAAGCAATAGTCCATACCTTAAAAGGAATAGTTGAGTTAACAAAATATTTGTTAAGTACATCTCACGAATTTGTAAAACTTGGTGACTTATTAGGTGACTGACCCTATTTAAAAAGCATTTAGTAAACTGCGTCAAGGTGCTGGTGGTGCTTATTTTATTTTTGTTCAACAAGTTTTAGAAAAAACTAAAATTGAGCACTCAAAACTACTTTTACAATATGGTTCAGACTTTCGTGTGCTTCATATTGGTCATACTTGCATAAACTGTTAGATGTAACTAACACAAAAAGAAAGTGGAATATTTAATTCTTTGAAAATATCAGAGTCTAGTTTAACTGATGCTGTTAAAATGGCTTTAGTATATGTTATTTTTAGTCAGCCATGGTTTCTCTTCAAAAGTTTCAAAGAAAGAGAAAAAATTTACATTGACTTTATTGTCACATATAATCGCTACACACCTTTTATTTGCATTGCTGGTTATCTTTAATTTAAAATTGGTTATGAAGATCTTGACACTGATACATATTCATATTGTAATGAGTATTGTGCTTATCTCAAAGACTTAGATAGAGATGGTTTGACAAAACCAACTGACATTTTATGTCAATTTACTTTCTTTTGTTATGTACTTTTTATTGCACAGGATCTGACTTAAGCAGTTTGTTTGCATTCTTTATCTTACTACTTTGAATCAATCGACAATTTAAATATTTTGGGTTATTTTAAGAATGTGTATGAAAAGTTTTAAAATTTTGTCAAATATTTTTTAAAATAATTATTCAAAGCTAAACACTCTACGCACTTACAAGGAGCCAACTCAAAAAGAACAAAAACTGAGTGATTAAATTATAAATTTTTTTTTTGACTTATGTAAAACTCTTTTGAATAAATTATGTTTCATTGAGATTTTGTAATACTTTTTTGTCAATAAATATAAAATAAGTATGCCTTTAGTTAGCAAGTTAGATAGCAATTGAAATTTGTTAAAATATTTTTATAAAAATTATGTCTAAACTAAATTTTTAAAAATCAACCTCCAGTTTTTAAGCTTTGCAGCTTGTGTAATAGGTCTGTGTTTTAGATAGCCGTGGTTTACTCTTAAAATTAAAACTTAAATAAGCATGGCGTATGCGGATTTCTCAATTAAAAGTAACTCAGCTGTTTGGAAATATTTTCTATGAGAAGAAAAAGGGCAAAGAGCAATGTGTAAATTGCCAAACTGCATAAAGATTTTAAAAATCTGTGGTGGTTCAACAAAGGACTTCATATATTCATGTTGTTGGTGCATAATGTGAAGGTCAAAAGTCTAACCCAACCTAATATTACTGGAAAAAGCACATCAGATAAACCACCAAAAAAGAAACCTAAACCATTAACAGAATAAGTTTCCATTTTTGAAAAGGAAAATAAAACACTTCATGCTACACATGGTCGTCTAATGGTGTCTGATGGGCTTTCATTTAATGTGATTTGTTCTTCAATAGATTTATGTGCCGCTCTAACGGCTATGTGATTTAGAAATCTACCAATGTCAGTATACACAATTTGTAATCATGTAATAGGGTACAGTAAAAAAAGTAAGATTAGGTTTAGTTCAACAAATTAAAGCGCTCAAGAGTACAGAATTCCGGGTAGGAGAGAAATTTTCTTTGTCTTTTGACAAATAGACGTCACTAATCGAATAACAGAGTCAATATTGTGGCTATAATGACCAACGGAGCTAGTGTTATGAAAAAAGTTGGAAGGTTGCTGGCTGCAAATCAAAAATTATGTTTTGCCCATGGCATACAACTTGCTGTAATTGATGTTCTTTATGAAAAAAGAGAATTCAATGCTAATCAGCCCAAAATTTAAAAATTAATTTTTTGACTGTGATTCATCCAAGAAGGAGGATATTGAAAAAGATTTACTGGGCTACAATCATGAAACTTTAAGATCTAAAATTGAACTAAATGAAGTTCATTATGGACCATTTATTAAAAATATTATGCAAGTTGATAATAATATTTATACAATCACCTATGAAAACGACATCTTATAAAAATATATATTAAGATATATTAAGGCTGAATTTGGAAAACAACTGTCTTTAATTATGGATTGCAAAACAAGATGGAGTAGCCTTCTGTTAATGCTTAAATGATTTTATAAAGTAAAAAATTGTATACAAAAATCATTAATTGATATTTACTCAGTGCAAGATAATTTTATAGCTCTGTCGCATGATGATTATCAGACATTATTACAACTTTAGTTCCTATTAAAGCAACGGTTGAAGCACTTTCTTGCTGAGATTCTAACCTATTTACAGCTGACATTGCTATTAATTTCATGCTTACAAAATTAAAAGATGCTGACAATAACACAAGCAAGGAAATGTGTACAGCTTTTATGGCTCATATACATGAACGCCAAACTGATATAAGTGGACTTTAGCAATACCTGCAGAACATTCGAAGCTCCATTGAAGTCGATGAAGAAATAATTACAGTACCTTCTTCATTTAAATGTCAAAAAATGTTGGTAGAATTGCCAGAAAGATTAAACGCTTCCAATCCTGCTTTAGTAAGAGCATCAGTTGAGTCTGATATGCTAGATTTTATTGAAGAACCTGAAACTGAAAATCACATTTTAAGTATTAAAGAGGAGCTTGATAGTGTAATTAAAGAAGCACAATCACCAATGCAACCAGTTAGACATGAACATTGTTATGAAAAATTCAAAAAGATATGACATTACTTGAAAATAGTGGTACACGTGGTGATTATTTAGAAAGAATTTATTCATTTCTAATGACGGTGAAACCAACAAGTGTCGAAGCTCAGCTGGCATTTTCTTCTGCAGGATTGTTTAATAATAAAATTTGTAACAGGTTGGGCCATGAAACATTGAACGCGTTGTGTTTCCTGAAGTAACATTTTAAAGTACATGAAACATGATATATTTCCTTATTCCTAATAAAATTTCTTAACATTAATTAACATGTTTTTCTTCTATGAATGTAACAATGTAATGCAAACAGCATCATTTATAAAATATATTTTTGTTTAAGAGTGTACTGTTTTTGTTCTACTTAATACTATATAGATGTTATATCTGTTTTTCAATCCCAGAATCCCGGGATTGAGAAAGACCTCTGGGATTGCAAACCCTAGTATATATATATATATATATATATATATATATATTATATATATATATATATATATATATATATATATATATATATATATATATATATATATATATATATATATATATACAAACCACAAAAGTTGTAAAATTAAACAGTTAATTACCATTTAATTATTTATTGAAAAAGCTTCCATGCAAAAGTTTAGAAACAATTGAATTTGATTATTATTTATTTCAAAAAAGTTTCACTAAAATTCACAAAATAACAATTTGTTAACAATAAAATAGTTTTGATAAAACACTTAGTATTTGGTAGCATAATTATTTGCATTTAAAACAGCATCACAGTGTCGAGGCATTAAATCTACTAATTTAATGAGAATCTACTGAAGAATATTATACTAACATTCTATAAATAAAGCAAATAAATGGTTTTTGTTGGTCGTTTTTTCACCTAAAAATTGCCAATCGATGTACTCCCAAAGATGTTCAATTGGATTGAGATCTGGATTCTGTGATGGCCATTCAAGAACTTTGATTTTTTGTGATTTAAAATATTCCTTAACAGATCTGGCACAATGCTTTAGATCATTATCTTGTTGTAAAATCCATTTGCGAGTCATTTTATACTTTGCATGCGACAGTGTAACATTCTTTATGATGTCTGTATAAACTTTCTGGTCAATAATTCCTGTTATATGATAAATGGGACCCACATTGTCACTACTAAAACATCCCCAAACCATAACATCAACTCCTCCATGTTTAACAGTTGGTAGCTAATATTTTGGATTAAATCTGTCTCGTACTAGGTGCCTAACATACCTGTTTCTGCCACTACTAAATAGCATAAACTTTGATTCATTTTATTCAAAGTTTATGCTATTTAGATATATCAGAAAAAAGGAATTTTGTTTATGCTATTTAAATATGTTATGCCAAAGTTTATGCTATTTAGATATCAAAGTTTATGCTATTGACCAGTCATTAACTGACCAGCTAATATCATCTTTTGCAAATTTTATTCTGGTTTTTAAATTTCTTGCAGATATTAACTAGATGACAGCCATACAGATTATTTTGTCATAATCAAAGTTTAGTTGTATCGACACAACAGTTTGTGCCATGAAAATGATGCATAAATAAATCATTCGACAGCGGTCTTGCAAGGATTATTTTCAGAATACTTTACTAATAATGACTTTTCAGTTGTAATTTTAGGTCTTTTAGAGTGAGGTTTGCTTTCAATAGTTTTGCACAGACGAAATCTTTTCATAATGTGACATAATCCTGGTTTAAAAACATTGTAAAGTTCAGAAATCTGCCTGTAAGTAAATAATTTTATTTCCCACAGCTTTTATAATTATTTCCTTTGAAACTTTTTTAGCTTTTCCCATGCTTTTAAAATATTGCTAAGAAATTGAATTATAAAATTTTACAAATATTTTGGCAATTAATTATACTTCAATGCCTTTGAAATATCTCATAGTAATTAAATTATTAAATTTCAAAAATATTTTGGCCTTAAATTTTGATTTTTTTTACAAAAACATAACTTAATTGCAAGGTATGATACTGTTTCTAAACTTATCCACAGAAGCGTTTTTTTAAAAAACAATTAAAAGTTAATTAACCATTTAATTTTACAACTTTTGTGGTTTGTATTTTAAATTGAAATAATATAAAGCACAGTTAGTAAAAATTCTAGTTTATTTAAGAAAGTCTGTAAAAAGTTAGTAGTAAAAACTGAAAAGTTAGCAGTAAAAACTAAAAAAAAGTTAGTGTTTCTAATCTGAAATTAAAATAAAAATTCTAAGGTGAATTTAAAATAAAAATTAAATAAATAAAAAAAAACAGGAGGGCTTCTCACTTTTTTTTTGAAATGACCAAACTATTCTCTTATTTCCAAAACACTAAGTTTGATAAATAAGTTATCACAAATAAACTTGCACAAATAAGTTAATTGTGGTATTACTAGGAACATAATGGGGATTAAATTAGTAGAGTTTCTTTTTAAAGCAAATGTTTTATATTACACCACTCTGGTTTTTCAATTAAAATTACAAGCAACTTTATGCTAATGTTAAAATGTAAAAAACAAACAAAAACAATTCTATACAATTTCTTACAATTTCTGATTCTTGACCTAATGTAACTTCTTTCAATTTTGGTTGAAGGATAAGCATTAAAGAAATACTTTTAAGCCTTTCTTCAAATATTTTAGTGCTCAAAAGAATGTGTATAGACACTATATCATAGTTGGTGTTGTTAGTTGGTTTTATACCACAAACACTCTGCAAGTATTTATTTCTTGAAACAATAAGCAGTTTCATAAAGGAAATCAAACCCAATGCCAAAATCTAAATATTTTTAGAAGCTATTAGATAAAAAATTTACAAACACATTAAAGCATTTTACAAATATTACACAAATATCATTTTTAAAGCTTTTTGAAAAACCATAAAAAAAACTACTTGGTAAGAGTGGAAGCCTTGCTCAGAGCTTTGCAAATGATCAGGATACTTTAAACGCAGTAAGTCAAATAAATAACTATCAACTTCTATAGTTGTTAAACTCATTATCACACTTGCCATTGGTAATGATGCTACTGTGTCATAAATATGCTTGTAGTTATGTGTTTCATGCGTTGCATCTTGATATAAAAACCAAGAAATTCAATAATAAAGTATTTTCTAATTATTATCTAATTATTCTAAATATTATTTAATTTATCGCTATTTGGTAAATCACTTTATTATTTGTAATCTTAACCCTATGCCATTGTTTGTCTAATACCATTTTTTTAAAATCTATTATTGTCTATTATAAGTAACTTTTATTAATTTAAATTTCTTTTCTTAAACTAAACTAAAATTACTATTTTTTTTCTTATTCCCAACAAGGGAAAACCTTAACTTTATAGTGGCAAGCAGCCACTATAAAGTTGGGAGTTACTAAAAAAAAGAATAGAGTTATAGAGCAAGGAAATTGTTGACAGAAGACTTGAAGGTTGTATGAGTCAGGAAAACATACAGATGGGAGAGAGTTCCTAAGGGTTGAAATGTGGGTAAAAAAATCTAAATGAATAAAAGTTTTGGTAGCATGCAGGGACAGATACAGTAAAAGAATGAGACTTTTAATGAATGACAAGTCAAGCGAGAATGAGTTTGAGTTGATGGAACTAGAAATAAAAGCTCCTTTGAGCAGCGACTATTATAGTATGTGTAGAAAAGAGAAAGAGATGCAACTTTACAATGATGGGAAAGAGGCTTTAGCTTAGCACATAGACCGGGTCCAACTATGTTTACAATGCAATTTTGGACCTTATCTAGAAGAGAGAGAGCATCATTAAAAGAACTAGCTTAAATATGACAACAGTATTCCATACATGGAGGAATAAAAATTGTAGAGATAGAGAATGGAATTAGGAGAGAGAAAATGGCAAACACGATAAAGAAAAACAATCATATCAGATGCTAATTTAGCAATAAATTATATATATAATTTTCATGAAAGGTCAGTAGTAAATGATAATCCAAGAAGACATAAAGAAGAAAACTCAGTAGGAGGGTTGCCATTCATCAATATAAGAAAGTTGACAGTACTGCAATAACTGTTTGCAGTAAATAACTGAGTTTTGTTGGAATTAAACTTTACAAGCTATTGTGAGCCCCAATCAGTTACAGAAGTGAGATCAGATTCAAGATCGGATGCTTGTTCTGAGCAATTAAAAGAAGACTTTTTGTCAAGACAGGAGTATAAAGTTGAGTCATCAGCTAAAAGAGCTACTTTAGATGTGAGGTTTGTTGAGATGATCATTAATGTAGATAATAAACAAATTAGGATCAAGGATAAAACCTTGAGGTACTCCAGAAGTTACTGGAAATAAAGAAGAGTGTCTTTGCTTTTATTGGAAATAAAGAAGAATAATGAATTTTGTTATCATTGTCATCAGCATTATTATTTATTATTGACAATTATTTAAAAACTATTATTTTAAATTAATGGTCTAATAATAATTTATTAATTGTTTCTTTTGTTATTATTACAAATATGATTGTAGTATTTTAAGTTTTAATATTTTTATTGAAATTATTAATATTATTAATTAAGTTAGTAGATTAGGAGGCTTATATATTTATATACAATTGGAAAATATATATATTGTAATATATTATGCATTCAGTTTTGGACTTTTTGCTGGAAAGTGCCATTCCTAGATTTTTTCTTTGTTTAAGTAAAGACTTGGCTTTCGAAACATTTCACCATGATAATAAACTTTCCGTTATGAATTTCCTTATCTAACCAAATTATATTTTGAACAATTTTCTTATATTCAAGAAGCATTGAAATTTTTAATTTGCTATGAAAAAACAAATAAATTTTATGAATCAACAAATTTTATCTATGATTAAAATATATATTGAGGAAAAAAGTATTAAATTGAAACAATTGTGAGAGCATTTGAGTATTTTTTCAAACAGCCTACAACCATAATCAGCTTACAACTTCACTAGAGGAGATTTTGAGAGCCAAGTTTACATACTTTATAGTATTACATAATTTAAATACTTTAGGAAAAATTACATCCAAATCTAAGTTCTTGTATGCCGCTTATATCAGATATATTTTTCTTATTATTAGAGATTAAAAACAAGAAACTTCTATTTTACTTTTTGATGATTTCAATGTTAAACCTGTGTTGCAGTACTATAGTGGCAAAGTATTTAGTTTAAACAGTTAACCTTATTTAAAAAGACAGTATTGAGCTTTATGGTTTTAACATTGAAACATTGTAAAAAATTATAATCAATATGCTATTGCTTCTGCTAGTGATAAGAACTTGAGTAAATTTTCTGCAATAGGGAATACTGCTTCGCAAATGAAAAAAACCAAGAGAAAAATAATAAAATTACAAATTATAAACACTGCTCAAACCTTAAAACTTTAGCTCAAACCTGTTATAGTTTAGATCAGTTGTCAAAATATCTTTTATGCACAATTCACCAGTATCTATTATTAGGGAATTTTACAAAAGATCCATTAGAAAAGCTATTTAGAAAAATATGTCTCAGGAGGAATCTATTTCATCTCAGTTCATTAAGTTCATGAAAAATTAACTGTATACCACATTAAGTTACTCATTTTTGTATACAGCACAAATAAGGTCATTTTGCTAATAAAGTTAGAGAAAACTTCTGATGCGTTAAAAATTATTAGTTCAGAGTACTCTTGTTCAAAATGTAAAATTTTACCAAGTGAAGATATTTGTAATGTTATTGACAATTTAACTGCTCTGCAAGATTCATTGAGTGTGATATTAAAACATAAGTAAGTAAATAACAGTGCAACAAAACAAAAATTTTTTTTCCAGCCTAAACAATATAGTGTTTTATTACATGCAATGTTCTGATTACAAAGATACCTTTGTAATGTCTCTAGCATGTCCAGAAGTGAAGTTAATCCAGTCTGAAAATTTAGTGGTAATATGTAATATTTCAATAAAAAGCTTTTTCAGAAAGTTCTTTTGCCAAACTATATAGTCAATGTCTTGATATTTCCTTGCTGAAGTGGAAAAATGGTGACTGTTTCTTGATTTTCTTTGTGTGTCCAGAACTGTTAAAACCAGCAGAAATCACTCATCATAGCTGGACTATATTTACCTTGATATCACTGTTCCATCATCGAAATGTTCTGATGAAAGCATTCTCTGAGCTTAAATGGCCTCTTAGTCTATTATATTATAGTTTTTTGACCTTATTTCTGTATTTGCCCAATTTTCTTTTTTTAAGAACCACATCAACAACGTCCTTATATGAATCAGTGTTTTTTAAAAGGCTAATTTGATATTTTTTTAAATTTTTTTGTTTTTTTTTTTTAATTTTTTTGATAGTTTGATCAGTTTATGTTTAAAATGTGTTACACAATTAAAGAACACAATAAAATTACACAAATAAAGAACCTGAAAGTTTAGGATTTTTATTAAAATAGCGAATTTGCTTCAATACACATTTTTAAAAAAAATCACTCTCCAGCTGAATAATTTTTTTTGGCATAATATGTGGGAAATATAAACAGTTTCTCATATGTTGTTGTTATTATTAGTATTATAAATAGTTGTGCCATTATACCTAAGGAATCCGGGTTTAAAAATTGATTGTTCTAATGACCTATAAGTCTTAATTTTTTCCCTAATAGTAGCCCATAAGCTTTTTTATAATTTTAAAGCTCCTGGATACCAAAAACTAGAAAGAAGTAATCTTTTTGTGATTATCGGAGTGACTCTGGAATCCTTTTTGGGACTGTGTTTATTATTGTATATGAGCATTATAAAAAAGGTTACATTTAGGCATTCACCAATATTAATGGTTTTGTCTATCACACTTTTTTATGACCAAACATACGGGCGCTGTACCACAGGTTTGATAGTTTAGCTTATCCAAGTGGCAATGTTACACTGAAAAAAGTGAAGGTGGAAAACCTTAAAAAATTAAAAGAATTCATTCCTGAAGAATTCAACACGTTTTATAACAAGATGTTCTCCTGGCCAACTAATGAATGTGAGAATCTTCCAGACTTTGAGGAAGAACTAGACTAAAATGCTATGACTTAAATGCTTACTGAAAGCTATTTTAGTTATCAACTCAAATATATAGGTGTTATGTTTATAACTGTCACGTTAAAATTTTGTTACATAGTTGTAGTTCTTAAGTAGTTTTAATTTGTTTTCCTTCCTGAAATATTTTTTTTTTTTAAAGGGCAAATTTTTTGGAATTTTATACATTACAATAATAAACAAAATGTTACAACAACTATCAAAGCATACTAAGATGTAGCTCTTGCATACATATTTTGAAAGTATATTACAAAAATTCAGTATATTTAATTATAAAATATATAAAGAGTTTATTTTAGTCTTCTCAAAAACAAGTTTAGAGCAAATCAGCTCTTTTAAAAAACACTGATGAGTTTCAAACTGTCTGTTGCAAATCAGTCAGCTTAGATATAAAGATGGAGTCATTTATTATAACATGTCTTATTTGAGGTCCTATAAAGATTCCTTCAATAATTAGACATACTTATCTTTTGTAATGTTTCTTTGAGGTACTGAAAGACATCTGAGATGCCTTTAAGAGCTTTTACAAAGTTCTTCATCAATCCCAACTTGATTTGAGAAGGTGTGAGGTAAATTTTATCTAGTTGTGCCAGTGGACTGTGCTTCACATTGTGTTTTCCTGAGACATATTTAGATTCCACTAACCACTTGCTTCTGTAAATAATGCTGCTTAAAAGCATGATTGTCCCTCAAGCACAGGAAGCAGCAGTACTTTGTGTAACCAATTTGCATGCCCATTACTAGTCCAATAAGCCAGCACAAATATTTCAGCCTAATTTCCTATAGTTTTTCCATACTTTCCTATGATTCTTTCATATCTACAGCATAGAATATTGGGACTGACGACTTTGAGTAGCCATTGTGAATAATTGCCTTAAGGCTTGTCTTTGAGGCATCTATGAACAGATGACATGGCATGAGCTTTGTAATGTCAGTCAAACTCATTCATAAGACCTTCTATATCTTTTCAGTAAGAGCACTTGCCCTGTTCTTCAAAGAATTGTAAAAGGTTTGTGCTTCGTTTTCTGTAAACACTTACCTTAGTGCCTTTTGACAAGAGATTCCACTGTTGAAAATAAGATGCAAGTAGCAAGTAAACTAGTAAAGACAAAACACAATAAATCTTATACTGTGTAAATTATTGAACTTAGTTTGTTTGATGAGATAAGGTTCACCCTCTTCATGTGTATCAAAGCTGTCATCACTTTTATGAGAGGAAGTAATAGAGGCTGATTCATCACTTTTATCAATGTCAATGTCACTAGGAGGCACAGGAATCAGCAAGGTATTGTTAAGAGATACAGGTCTTATTGCAGAAGGTTCATCAGGGTATTCAATCTTGTCTTTGTTCTTATCAGAAAATCATGCTATGTCATGTGAAAGTACCAATCTGTGCTATTGTCTTTTGGTTCTCTCCAAAGCAAAGGAATTGCAAATAACAAACTTTTTTTGCCACTGTGTCAAATTCAAGTAGCACAAAGACATACAGATGATGTGCGGTAACCATTTCTTGTCTTTTCTCAAAAGAATGATAATCTTTCTCTGCGACTTTTTAATGAATAGTCTACAAACATAACAAAAACAGTCAAGATGGTTTACACATTTACGTCTCTCAGCCATCCTTTCAAATGAATCATACTTTAGCTAAAAACATGTAATAAGGTTGTAGTCAGAGTCAGTTTTTAATTATTGACTTCCATACAAAACACTTAACGAAAGCTTATTAAATACCAAACTGCTTTCCTATATGGCTAACTGCTGTTGATATTAGCTTCTATACATAGGTCTACATCATTAGCCAATGACATCAGTAGATTCTGATTTTATTATCAATTCAAATGTGTTTTGAAACGAATTCAGAGCCATCTATGGTGGGAAATTGCAATTATAGCTATAAAAGTAACACAGCTGTAACACAAATGGCAATATGATGATTTACTGCATGGCAAAATAATAATGCATTGCAAAAGTTGTAATGCAACATAACTCAAAATCCTGATGTACTAGAAATATTCTGACTTCATATTTAGAATCAAAAGTTATAAAAATATATGTAATATATATAAATTTACCTGACATAAGTTTCAAAAATAGGGGCGAACAGTGTTATTTGTAAAAATTACAATATAGATAATACCTTTTATTATCATAAAACGTTTGGCAATTTAACTATTACAGGAGACAAAACAATATTTTATATACCATCTTTTATATATTATAACAACAAAATAGATTGCTTTAAAACTAAATATTATTATATTAAAGTTTTAATTGTTTGTCAGTTGCATTAATTAAAATACTATCAATTTACTTTATTTTTATTTTCTTTAGAGGCAGAAGCAATAACACATTTATAAATAGCTTGAAGTAGTTTTAAACTAATTGCCCTTTTGAAGTAGTTTTAAATTAATTGCCCTCTTTAACAACAAACCCCTACTTTAACTAAAAATACATTAAATCAAAACTCTTCTGAGTAAAATATTTTTAACTATTCCAAACGTGTGTATGAAGATGCTCATAAAAAAAGCAAATTAAAAAATTTCGAGCTAAAATTTGAAACAAAAATTGTAAAAAAGCGAAATAGAAATATAATTTGGTTCAACCTTCGATACAGCAAAAATGTTTTAAAAAATATTGAAAAGCGTTTTTAAAATTAGTTGACAAACATTTCCCTCCCTTTAATAAATTGCACAAAATTTTTAACAGAAACACTATTAAAGTAAGCTTGGGCTGTACAAAAAATATTGAAAGAACTCATAATTTTGCATTGATTAATAAAAATGAATTTCTCTCTCAAAAAAAAAAAAAAAAACAAACTGAAAATTGTAACTGCAAGCAAAAATTGACTACCCTTTGAATGACAAATGCTTATCAAAAAATATTATTTAAAAATGTATGGTTTCCTTGCAAAACAACCCTGATAATCAATATATTGGCTTAACCGAGGGCAAATAGAAAAAACGTTATGCCAACCATAAACAATCTTTTAAACAAAAAATACTCAAAAATGACTATGCTGGCAAAATATATTTTGCAACTAAAAGAAAAAAATAACAATTTAAAATTAAACTGGTCTATTCTAAAAACTGCACCTAACATTTCCAAAAAATATAAACAAGATGTTTACAAGAAAAACTTATAATTATTACTCATTTAGATCAAGAAAATTTACTGAATAAAAAATTTGAATTAAATGCAGACATGAAAATAATTTCTTTTTAAAAAATTATAAAAACGAATGACCAATCTAAAATTATCTTAATTCTGAAGAATTCTTTTCATGATTTTTTAATTACCTAATGTAGTTGATGCAACTTTGCAAAAAACATTAATTAAATAATTTACTGTTATAAAATACTACAGTTATTACATAATTTATTATAACAATTCCTAATTTCATGTAAAATAATTTTTCTATAATTCGATTTTTTTTTGATGTTTAGACATTCTTCCTGATGAACCTACTGATGGAGAAACATTATGTTGAAGAATACTAAAAATTAGATAATTATTTTTACTAATTTATATACATATAAACTATATATATATAAGAGATTTATATATATATAGGAAACATCATTAGAAAATAAAAAAAATATAGATACCAACAAAAATATACCAAGAAAAGGATGTCCAGCATAGATAAGCATTGATAGAAAAATTATTATGAAACTTAAGATAGAGGACTATCTGCTCCTAAGCTAGCTAGTGATTTACAAACAGATCATGATATAACTGTAACTCCGAAAACTGTTTGTAATTACTTGAAAGATCAAGGTTTTGTAGGTAGAGTTGCATTAAAAAATCCTTTCTTAAATTAAAAGAAAATTTATTTTTATAATAGTTAAAAAAATTATTTTTATTATAGGATTATTAACTAAAATTTAAACTTAAACATAAAAAACAGTTTTTTATTGAAAAATCATTAGGGGGTGACTTTTTATGACATACTGGATATATATGTATATATATATATATATATATATATATATATATATATATATATATATATATATATATATATATATACATACATACATATATATGTATATATGAATATCTATATATGTATGTATATAAATCAAGCTGTATACATACACACATATATACATACACACACACACACACACATATATATATATATATATATATATATATATATATATATATATATATATGTGGTCACATAGTATATATATATATACAAGGTCACATAGTAATATATGGTATGCAACCGCACAGCTTGATTTATATACATACATATATAGATATTCATATATACATATATATATATATATATATATATATATATATATATATATATATATATATATATATATATATATATATATATATATATATATATATATATATATGTATACATATATATGTATACATATATATGTATATATGAATATCTATATATGTATGTATATAAATCAAGCTGTACGGTTGCATACCATATATTACTATGTGACCACGTATACAATTTTTTTCTACAACTTGGCCATATTTTTTTGCAATTGGTAATTTGCATGTTTTAAAAACCACACTAAAAAAACGAAGCTGAAAAACACTTTTAAATTAAAATAAAAGTATATATTAATTTTATGGTTTTATTATTAATTAGTTTTATCATTCGTTAAGATTTTTATATATATATATATATATATATATATATATATATATATATATATATATATATATATATATATATATACATATACATATATATATATATATATATATATATATATATATATATATATATATATATATATATATATATATATATATATATATATATATATATATATATATATGTATATGTATATGTATATATATATATATATATATATATATATATATATATATATATATATATATATGTATGTATATATATATATATATACCCTTATAGTGTAGTCGAAAGAGCGTTTTAATGTAAAAAAAGTCTCTTACGACTACAATTTTAATTACCTCGTCTCTTAAGCTGTTTTTGATTGTCATCAAAATGTCAAAGCAATTAATTTATGCGAAAGTACATTAAAATTAATTGTTTTTTAAAAAATTTTTAAAAAACCGCAATTATAACGACTAGAAAGTTTTTTTTAATTAGTGGTGTTTTTGTTATTGATTTAATAAAAAACATTTTTAAAACATGCGTAAATGTTGCTACATCGACTATCTTATAGCCTGACTCGCAACGGAGTGCTGCTACATCGACTGACAAATAGCCTGACTCGCAACGGAGTGCTGCTACATCAACTAACAAATAGCCTGACTCGCAACGGAGTGCTGCTACATCGACTGACAAATAGCCTGACTCGCAAGGGAATGCTGCTACATCGACTGACAAATAGCCTGACTCGCAAGAGAGTGCTGCTACAACGACTGACAAATAGCCTGACTCGCAAGAGAGTGCTGCTACATCGACTGAGGGTTTGGTTTGGCCAGGCAGTCTATCAATTAAAAAAAAAAATTTAATTTTTAAAACTTTTTCTGGTCTGGTTTATTAACGCGCTCTTTAAAACTACAGTTTATGGGAAATATTTTTTGATGCCACGCAAGAGACATGCAAGAGTATATATATATATATATATATATATATATATATATATATATATATATATATATATATATATATATATATATATATATATATATATACATATATATAACATTAGCATTAAACAAAAATATATAAACATATTTTATGAAAATTATAGTTTTATACAACTTTGTAAATACCTGGTTTTATACAATTTTGTAATGCATCATCAATTTCTTTGAAAATTCTATCTGAAAATGGAAATTTGCAATGGAAATTTGGATCCAATAACTTGTAGGATGCATTGTAAGAGATATCCCTTAATTTAGAAAACAATTCTAGCCAGAGCTTTGTATACTTTGGTTCATTGTAAAGAATTTCAAGGTTATGAAATCTATCTATACTAGAAACAATAGATGCGAAAACAGGCACAATGCGGTCTTCCGCATAACAGAATAATGCATGTCTAAATGTTCCATATGATGGTTGATACTTTTGTTCTATTGCTTCATTTTGAATCCAGTTTGTAACATAATCAGGATGCCATTTACTTTCTTCTGCAGCTAAGCCAGTTTCTATCAGCTTTAAAACAGTTGTGATAAACATGGTTCGAATATCTGAAAAAATTTGAAACTTATAGTCAATCATGAATCAAAAAGTTGATAAATTATAATTTAATTTTTTTAGTTTGCTTATGATAATTTATAAAAAAATGTTTTTATGTAAAAAAGAAAAGAAAAAAGTTTTTTTTTTTGAGCTATTAAGTGAACATTTGTTATTTTTCTATATTATTCTATATAAAATTACATTGTGCTCTATTAAGGAAATCAACATAACTTAATATAAAATATTAATATAACTTAATATTATTTTCTATAGATTCTATATTGAAATAATATATTAAAATGTAATTTTCAATAAGTATAAAGAATTAAAACATTTTTCTTTCTAACCCCCTTATTTATTCAAATTACATTTAAAAGAAATAAAATTAATTCTTATAATCAAAAGTTTAATTGAGTAGTTTCTATGCAATACTAAAAGTTTAATTTAATTATTTTAGAAAAAATCTCTTTACCATCTTCTTTAGTTGTTAAAAGATTTTTTAAAATATCAATTCTTTGTGATATTTCTTCAACAGTCATTTGCTTCATTTCACTTAGACGCCGAATAGTCATTTGCACACATCCTATTATTAGTTGAATCATACTTGGTTTAACATCATCAAGGCTAATTATTTCTTTCAAAGATTTTTTATAATATTTTATAAGATAAGACAAGTTTGAGCTACGTAACTCATCAATGTGGCAACATTCCCAGAATGACAATGAGCTTAATAGGTCTAGATGTTTAGATTTACAGGTTAACTGCAAGATAAACAAAATAGATATGTTCTTTAATTTAAATTGTTCTTGTAATTCTTTACAAATGTATTGTGCACATGCTATTAAATTGTTCGTTTCTAGCGCATTATTTGCTTGAATAATTAGAAGCTGTTTCTCATTACTTTTAGAACTGTACACACCTCTAAAAACATCATATATATATATATATATATATATATATATATATATATATATATATATATATATAATATATATATATATATATATATATATATATATATATATATATATATGCATATACATATATATATATATATATATATATATATATATATATATATATATATATATATATATATATATATATATATATATATATATATAAAACAATATATCAAACTCAAATTTAAAATTATTTTTTCTATAACAAAGACACATGAGGCAAAATTTTGACATGTGATAGCATTTTGATTTCAATAATTTATTCAAAACAAATAATATAATAATGTAAATTATATCCTAGTTTATATTATTATTAAAAAAAAAAGAACAAAAACCAAAAATTTAAAATTAAAGTTATTATAAATAAATTTATTTATAAATTATAATTGAAAAAAAAACCATCATTTTCCAACATCAGCAAACTTATCTATGATACACATACTTGATGGTGTACATCATTGAAAACACTGATAATGTGCATGATAAAATATTAGAAATAATAGGGTATAGGGTGAGACTAATGTTATCATGTTAATGTTAACACCAGCATTCTTACTATTATTAACAAGCTCAATCAGCATTCTTACTATTATTAACAAGCTCAATCAGCATTCTTACTATTATTAACAAGCTCAATAAGCATTCTTACTATTATTAACAAGCTCAATCAGCATTCTTACTATTATTAACAAGCTAAATCAGCATTCTTACTATTATTAACAAGCTTAATCAGCATTCTTACTATTATTAACAAGCCTTGTGAGTTTTTAATTAACATACTTCTAATATCTCATCTTGAGTTTATTAGTTCTGTCAAAACGAATTTAACTTCACTACTTCTACTGCAGACTTGTTAATTGTTAAACAAAATTTTTTATTTTATACTTAATAGACGTAGAAAAGCAAAGTCAATTGCTCATTGAATATCAACAGCCTTCAAGTCTGGCATGCTGGTCTTTTTTATAAGCTCTTTTAATATAGTGTATCAGGGAAAGTGGTTAAATGCATTGAATCATTTTTTTCCAATTGCAGTGTTAATGTCATCCCTGATAAAAAAAAACTCTTCTTCATTTCCAGTAAATTATGGGTCCCAAAAGTTTGCATTTTTTTCCTGTGTTCTCATCATAATAATCTTCAAGATAATATTTTGTAATAAAATATTATTTTCCTTGATGACTAGTAACATATATGAACAAAATCAAAAAATGTATAACTTTTTAATGAAACAATCAACTTTAACAACTCAAAAATTTTTTATTACTAATTTATCAAAAGTATAACATATAAAAAAAAAAAAAAAAAAAAAAAAGGATTTGAGTGATTACAAAAAAAAAAATAAAAAATCTGATACACAATATTAAAAACTTAAAAACTAAATAATAAAATAAAATAAAATTATAAAACTGATATCAACTCAACTCTGTTTAGCATTCTAGATGGTTCTTAAAGTGACTACCTTAAAAATTAAAAAGAGAACAAAAATTTAATTTAAAATATTAAAAAACTCAATTTTTAACTTAAAAGTTTTGAATTTAAATAAGTATCTCTTAAGCTCAAACTATAATCTTCAATTGAAAGTGATTCTAAGGTCTATATTCTTTTGATACAAATTCGACATTCAGATTTTTAAATAGTCTCATATATACATATATAGAACTAACTTTTCAAATAAATAGGAGTGATTGCAAGTATACTGAATTCATATTTTTATAGTTTTAAAGTCCACTACTCTTCTTGGATTATTGTTCATTAGTGACCTCTAATAAAATCTAATACAATCCATTGCAAAGTAAGATTTTCTGTCTTTATTTTCTTAGTCTTGATTCTGTTCACTAGCTCTAAAAACTTCTTGTTTACTCTTGTATGGATAACTGTTGTCGTATTTGGGATAATTCTTTTAATGATGAAATTTCTCTTTTAGATACATTTTAAAAAAACATTGTAAATGTAGTTAGATTTGTTGTAGTTGTTAAGCTTGAGCTAGTCTTATCATCCTAATGTCGCATCTCTTTTTTTAGTTCTACAAAAAAAATAACATTTGTTTTCTTTCCATGGTTGATGGTTAAGTAATTTACTAGCTCTATTTCCATCATATAAATCTAATGTGACTCATCGCTCATCAAAGTTGCTTTTTACTGTAACTGTTCCTTCATACTCAAAAATATTTTATTTTACAGCCATGTTGGAAGTGAATTTGTTAAAACTATTCTATAATAAAAAAATTTCTAAATAAAAAATTTCTTAATCAGAATCTTATTTTAATTCAATCAATGTTGAGAAAAATAATTAATTAAATGTTAGTTAAACTATTATCAATAAAGTTAATTATTAAGAAAAATAAAATTTCAATTAAATTAAAAAAAATAAGCCTGTTTGTGTTGCACACCAACAGGTTGATGCACAGTGCACATGTTTATACAACGAAATTTGTTTTTTCCTTATTTAAAGTCAAGGGCTATTTTATAATGTACATTTGTGGATTTTAAAACATTATTTCAAAATAAATCTACTATCAATAAAAGCTAAAAAAACTATGTGAATCAAAACGCAATAAAAATGAATTTTTATTCAATAGTTTTGAGAGAGCATAAAAGTTTATTCAAAGCAATAATGAAAAAACATTTAAATTGAAACAATTAAAACTTTTATATTTTAAAAATAATCATCAAAGTAAAAATTTACTCTAGACTATCCCTGAATGATTTTTCTGTTTGAAACTGCATAAGAGATATCATCTCAATTTTAAAATCAGTCAACTCAATATTTAAACTTTCTTTGTCGGTTGGAGATAAAAGATGTGAAAACGTTGTAACCTATAATAATTTATTATATATAAAACTATGATTAAAATTTATATTAATATTAATTTATCATCAACAAAAAATTTAAAATAATATTAAAATATTTAATAAAAATATTTAAAATAATAATATTTGTCTAAATAATAAATAATATGTAGATTAAATTACAATATATAAATTATTTAACTATATTAAATTACAAGTTATCTTAATAACTTGTTAAAAAACAATTATTTATAAATTTATGATCATCTGCTATATGATAACTAAATTAACTATACCAATGAAAAAAAAAAAAAAAAAAAAAAAAAAAATACAAAAAGAATTCAAAATACAACTTTTAAACAACTTTAAAAGCTGTTATGTTAATCTACTTTAAAGTTGACTTTAATAGAATAACCTATTGTTTTCATTACTAACACACGCACAAAAAAAACATACCTGTATAAATTTACTATCTGTATTATCAAGTTCATTGATAAGATAAGCGGCCAAAGAATGATGAAACTGCTTAACAAAATAAATATTCCAATAGTCTTCAAAATGATCCTTCAAACATGTTTTCATAACACGCAATAAAGAATCAGGAGTAGCTAGTTTTAGTAAAAACTGACAACTTTCTTCAAAAATCTAAACAAAATATAATATTTTAACAATATAATAAAATTATTTTAGCATTACAACAACAAAAAAAAAAATTGTCTGTGTATATGAATTCAAGTAAAAAAAATCCTTGAAATTAACCTTAACATGGTTGGCTTCACTAACTTCACTGTAACCAACATGCTTTTGATAAAGTTTCACTACAATAGAAGCGCAACTATCTTCACTGTATCCAATAAATGAATCTGATGGTTTAAAGTCATGTCTAAATAATATTTTATATAATAACTATTGTTTGTATATAAAAAAAATGAGTAGCCTCCTTGACTGTAGTGGCCCCCTTGGGCCTTGGGGAGGTGAATAATTAAAAAAAAAAAAAAAAAAAATTAAATATTATATATATATATATATATATATATATATATATATATACATACATATATATATATATATATATATATATATATATATATATATATATATATATATATGCATGTGTGTGTGTACATATATATACAGACCAAGCTGAACAATAATTCAGTTTTTAAATTAAAAAAAAAAGTCATAAAAAGTTCATTCACACCTTGACGAGTTTATGCTGGAAAAATTTAATGCCCATTTCTTTAGCTTTTCCACAATTTCTATTTGAGAATGTTCCATTCCATTCCATACATTTAAAAAATGCTTTTCTAATCTATTTATTAATGGTATTGGGAATTTTTTATACACATTTTCTTTATTTGCAATCACTATGAGTCTAAATATAGGTAAATCAGTTCACTGAGAACGCAAAAAAACTTCAACCATAGTTTAATAAACTATATTAGCGAAAAAATTAAAAAAAAAGCCTTAAAAATTACATAGGAAAGATGAAAATTTTATAGAGTATAAAAAACAATTATTATATAAAGCAATGGTTCAACTTAATTTTATAACTATACAATACATAAAAAAAAATGAAAATAAACATCAATAATTTTACCTAAAATCTTCATGCACTCTGCATTTAACTCTGTGAGTTCCAATGCCTAAATCTACATAGTTTTTACCTCCAAGTGATACATAGTACTAAACATAAAATGATGGCTTTTTTAGCCAAGTTAACAAATTGTTATTTAAATAAACCTGTTTAGCATTCTGAAAAGTTATTTAATAGTTTTTTGAGTTATTATTAAAAAAATAAAAAAAGAGAACAAAAAATTTAATGTGAAATATTAAAATACTTACAATCTAAAAGCCCTCAATAAAAGTAAAGTTTAATTACAACAAAGTTTGCTATAGAAAAATAATTTTAATGTTGCATCTAGCGCAAAAAAAAAAAAAATTAAATATGATTATATAAAAACAGTAAAAATGAATTTGATAAAATTAAAGTACATTATTCCAGCATATGCTTTTTGTGGGATGTTGATTAATACTTGGATTTAATAAAAGTTGAACTTTTAACATCAGAAAAATTCTACTTAAGTGAAATAACATAACTAAATGCTAACAAAAAAATCATACGAATATACCTGGTTTAATGTATCATAAAGACTTTCATATAAATTTTCCATGTTTAACAATACAACTCGAGCGCCAGTCTCCATATATATCTTAATTCTGTTTATATCACGACAAATCTTTAAATGCAAAGATAATAAATGCAAAAAACACTTAAGCAATTTAATAAAAAATAACAAGTTATATAGTTCAATATTTTAAAAATAATAACTGCTTTTGCTCAAATAAAACTGTTTTAAGGACTTAGTTTACACCATAGTTTTAAACATTGTAAAAAATATATACATATATATACAATTTTTGCTATCTTTTGTTATATTTTGTTATATCTTACATTTCAAAAAAATTTTTATGTTGGTTTTGATGCAACTTTGCTAAGTTGCTTGTACTTTTAACAGTTGGATCACAATTAAATATAAAAATACAGGCTGTTAGTAAAAAGAGCTTTGAGTTTATAAGTCTTTGATTAAAAAGCTGTGTTTCTTTTTAATTTAACACACTGCTTTATCATAGTTTGCTATAGAAATTTATTCCTATATTATAAAATCATGCATATGTTATACTTATAGTTTATTTGCAATATTCCTACTTGCACTTTTATTTAATAAGCGTAAATTTTTTTGATGATGCAATTTATTTGTTATCTTGTTTTTAAGTTCTGTGAGGACCAATATTTGATCAATTCATTACAACTTTTGTAAATATTTAACATTTCAAAAGAGCTTGTATAAATATACATTGATATTACTGTTTAAATTTTTTTTAAAGTGTTATAATTTGAATAATAATGTTTTATATTTTTGATCAATATAGTTGTTGTTTTACTTTCTTAGTTAAAATTAAGTAATTGCTTATTCAATTTTTATTATTGACAGGTTTTTTAATGACATACATTTAAATTGTTTATTAATGCTTTGCTTTTTGATAATTAGTGTTATAAACTGATTATATTGAATGTTAATAATTTTCAAAACTAGATTGTAAAAACTTTGGGTAAAGACTGATGTCATCAAAATCATAAAAAAATAAAACTTTTAAAATAGTTTAGCTTAAAAAGATGTTAGATTTCTAAATTTTATTCCAAATGAAACTCAGTTAACAAGTTCTATTTTTAATACAAAATAAAGATAATAAATTGTATTAAGATATAGAAAAAGATAATAATAAATTTATAAAACAAATTTATTACAACTGTTGTAAAGTCAAAAACTACTTTTAAACTTTTCTTTTTCTATTCAGAGAGTTAAACAACATAGACCCTTTATTAGGCTAGATACACCCACACTTATTAGATTATTTTATTAGTAAAACTTCAGTTGTGACTTGTAGTAAAATTCTTAACCCTTTAACTCCATTAAAAACAAGTTGTCATGAAACAAGACCACTGAAAATGGTCGAAATTTTTACCTAATTTCTCTTCTATAAATAATCTATAAAGCTTATTTTGACAAATAAACTATTATTTAAAAATAATTTATTTTAACAATTCTTTGGATGGTAAGAAAATAATACAGATGCATATCTCACATTCAATTTTTATTCTTTATTATACAATACAAGCTCAAGCATTTTTCAAAAAATCAAAGATATAGTTTTTTTATAGAAATTAATTAAAGTAATATTTATTTCATATTTTATATTTAGCACTTTCATTTGACAGTTAAGTAATGATGTATTGAGATTTACTAAGGTCTGGTTAAGTTTAGTGATGAAATTTTACATAATGTTGGTTTGTTTTAACTTATAAATTTAATTTTTAAAAATAAATGCAGCCTTTGTTCAAATTTCCAGAATCTGAATATTTTATACTTATAATTATAATTTATAATTAAAAATTGTTATTAATAAATTTTAATTGCTTTAATTAGAGATAATCAATACTATTTTTAATACAAAACAAAAGTAATCAATATTTAGTTTATAAACCTATAACAACTAATACAAAGAAAAAATGCATTGTTATTTAAAACTTTTTTGCAGTAAAATATTTGAATCTTAAACATATCTCATCATGGCTGTGCATTAAAAAAGTATCAATAAACTGTTTGCTGTTTAAGTTGTGCAAGTTTTGTGATGTGTGATAATGTGATGTTTAATGTAGTACATTAAAATCATACATAACTTTATTAAACTATAGTGCATTTTTATACATAATCAAACTACACATAGTTATAAAACAGTTGAAAATAAAGTCAATATTATGAAACTGTGACACTTTATATAAGTTGAATATTTTAATATATATATATATATATATATATATATATATATATATATATATATATATATATATATATATATATACCTGAGTAAACTGCTGGTCTTTATATTAGTTTAATATTTTTTGACAAAAAATTAAATATAAATCTAGAAATAAGGTCCAAATACAAAACTATATACCTGAGTAAAATACTGGTCCTTAGGAAAACTACTTCCAAAAATGACATAATTTTGAGAAGTTTTTGAACTTGGATTTAAGTAATGCTGTTCAATAATTGGTAAAGCAGAAAAATTCTCTGTCATTATTAGAAGGTAACGAGAACTTAAACAATGAGCTTTTTCTGATTTTTTTAAATTCAAACGATATTCATAACATGGACAATTATCAGCAAAACTATCACCAATTAAATGCAACACAGATATATCTGCATCTACATCTTTTGACTAAATAATGTTTTATATGATAAATCAACATTAGTTATTTTAAATATAAACTTTTAAAAATTAAAAAAAAACTTGCATTTAAATACCTTAGAAAAATCATATGGAAGGTATGATTTGAAAATACTCCATGTGTCCAATTCCTGAAGTCCACTAAAATTTCTTTTAACTGCATACTCAATATCTGAAAATGTAGGAATGTTTTGGCGTTTTCGAGCAAAGCAGAATATTAACTTTAACAAACTGAAAAAAAATTTTTTTTGGCTAAAAACACATCAAAAGTTTATTTAACAAAATAAACTTTATAATTCATAACCATTTTAAATTATACAACTTATATATAATTAAATCAGCTTCTCTAAATTTGACAACAACTCTTAACTAGGAAAGTGCAGTTATGCATGGTTCAGAAGCTAACAGTGCCACCATCGAAGTGGTTAACAAAAAATGCCAAAATTGTTTTAATCAAGTATAAAAAAGCTAATATTTCAGGCCTTCCAAAAGCCACAGACAATAAACAGAGGCTAGTTTTAGTTCAACACGTGCTCTAAAAACTTAACTGAAATGTTACTTTTAAAGTCATTGGATACTTTTTACCTTCTTCAGCTAAAAAGGTCACCAACATCACAGTTCAACTACAAATGCCATTAATTCAAATAGATTAATCAATATTGAGTTAAAAAGAAATGACAACCACAACAGTCTCTTATTTAATGCTAAACAACTAGCTACAGTAGATATTTTAAAATCTCTCCATACATCTACATACATCTAACTTCCAGGCATGGAGAAAATTCCAAACATTTATATCTTTAAAGTTATGTCAAACAAAGATGTTTTTTAAAAAATTGTGATGATTAAAGCCTAGGAAAAAAGTTCAGTCTGCTTTAGCACCACCAACTTGTCCACTAACTTATCTTTCCTGCTTCTACGCCTATGTCACCTTTCTTAATCCATCAAAACTCATTGAATTCTTCTTGCTTTTAGAAAACAAGTCCTTCAAAACTATTTTTATAACTGAGACAAACTTGTTTCAAACTAACTCAAACAATCCCAACTACACAAAGTTTTCATTCTATACTACTTATAGCAACTGCGGATTGAATTAAAGTTTCTGAACGAAACTCTTTTTTTAGGCTGAACTTACAGGTTTCTATTTTCTTGTACTTTGATTACTAGTTTTAAGACATTTGATTGTACTATATACAGTCATTTGACCAAACTTTTATTTTAAATAACAAAATTTGTATAAATATTAAATAAAATACCAAAATTAGAGAAAAAACTTTAGGAATTACCTGTAAAAATCTCTTAACCCAAAAAATTCTTCTTTTCTGTACTTTTTTATAATATCGCAATAATTTTGCTTTTCATAAACTTCTAAGTAGCCCTTTGTTAGAGGTTCAAATAAAGATGCAATCATTCCATAAACATATTTATCATTTAAACAGATATTTCTAAAATATTATTTATGAATAGTAATAAGATATTTATTCTTTTTTTCTTTTTAATTATAAAAAACTATTTATTATAAACTATTATTATATAGGTATAAAGCTAACTAATATATAGTTACCTTTATTATTACTGTTATTCTTATTGCTATTATTGTTACTATTACACTTATTATTATTATTAACATTATTGTTATTGTTATTATTGTTTATACAGTTAATTCCCAGAAATTTGAGCTATTTTTCTGACCCCTTTCAGCAAATTACTTTAAAAAACTGAACTTTCCGAATGGAAAAAATAAGGAGTTCAAAATAACTAAATTTATTTTTTTAGCAGCCATTAAATAGAAAACACAAATAAAAGTAACCTAATATTTTGTTGTTGTTGTATTTAATATCTGATTTCAGCCAATGTTTGATTTAATGGGAATTCGTTTTATTTGAACATTTATTAAGTCAAAGTATTTTGCTTGGTCATTTGGAGGTTTGAATTATCATAAATTAACTGTATTATTATTATGTTTAGTAGTAGTAGTAGTAGTAGTAGTAGTAGTAGTTGTTGTTGTAGTAGTTGTTGTAGTAGTAGTAATAGTAATAGTAGTAGTAGTAGTAGTAGTAGTAGTAGTAGTAATAGTAGTAGTAGTAGTAGTAGTAGTAGTAGTAGTAGGTAGTAGTAGTAGTAGTAGTAGTAGTAGTAGTAGTAGTAGTAGTAGTAGTGCTAGAAGTAGTGATAGTATTTTACTTGCACTGACTAAAATATATTAAATAAAATGACCTTAAATAACCATTTTAGGCTAATTAATTAGAGGAGGTAAACTTAGTTTTTTGCAATAATATTCTATAAAGATTTTCTCTTTAATATTTTGGGAAAAAAATGTAGAAGCTGAGATACCTTGCAGTTTCAACTAGTTCATCAAAATCAGGCTGTCCTCTATATAACATAATTCCTCTATTCATTTTTGCAGGATCAAGTGACCAGTTTGAGATACCAATAAATGCCACCCTTTTGTTTTTAAGAGACGAACCGTCAAGTGTAAGTTCTTCAGAACCATCAGTGCCATCTTCTAATAATGGGTGCAATGCTTTAAGAGGCATACGTGGAGAATCTTCTGCGAGACCAACTTCATCTAGTACAACAACAGAAGTAAAAGTTTCAAGATCTTTTCCTTCCTGAAATCGACTGCACTGTTTGAATGTATTTATTATTCCATCTGCTGTTGACAGAGGACTGCATTGGTATGAAGACATAAAAATCTATTGAGATATTGGTAAGAAAATTTAATAAATGTTTAAAACGTTAATAAACAAATAAAATGATAAACTAATAGAGATGTAAAAAAAGTATATAGAATAAATAAATTATTTTTTCAACTTTTAAACAACTCGATTTTATTTTGTTAATTTAATTTAATTTAAATGTTAGGCAGTTTGTTAAAAAAAAAATTTCTCAAAAACTAAAAAAAAAAACCTGCTTAAAGTTTTTAAACAGACAAGATTTTGACATGGTTCCTTGCATACAATCTTGAATGATAGATTTTGCTAAAGACTTTGAACTACCAGGTTTTCCAACAACAAATAAAGGAATACGTAATTCAATGCATATAACCATCATAAACACATTCTCACATAAGGCCTCATTTTGTGCAATATTATCTTCAAGCTTAATTTCACTCAAAAATTTTCTTTGAAGACTAAAAAAGAGAAAGAGAGTCGTTATTGTTTTTTAATAAATATTTAATAAAAAATTGTTTTTTAATAAATAAAAAATTTTTTTAATAAAAATTTTTTTAATAAAAAAAAAATTGTTTTTTAATAAATATTTAATAAAAAAAATAGCCACTTAACTAAAAACATGACTTAAATTTTTACTAAAAATAAAGATATTTCTAAATTTTTAAAATTTTTTATAATTTTCAATGTATGGAAAAAAATAAAATTAACAAAAAAAATTGTTAAAATGATTACTTCATAAGAAATTTAACATTAAACAAACCCTAACCCTAAAAACCAAACCTTTTTTGGAAATTAGGTTCTCAGCATGAAAAGTTTTAAAAAGCAAAGAAAGCCATCTTTTTGTAAATTGTCTGATAACTCCAAAAAAGGTTTCAAATTTTCAAAATTTTTCTACTTTAAAAAAATAAGGAAAACAAGATTTTCTTTAGTTACATCATAAATTGGACACTATAAATCTAATTCATCATCAATTAAAATGACATAGGTTAATCTCTTTTTATTACTCTATTATATTTTTATTAATAGTGTCTCAAATCTTCTAGCACAATTGTATAAATGCAACAAAGCTTACACTTATACTCAAATTATTGCTGGTTTTCAAGGCACTGGGCTTAAATCAAAACAGCATTGATAAATTAATGATACAAATCTGTTGAACTTTTAATAACAACTTTATTGCATCACCACTTAGGCCAAGGTAATCATTAAAAACTGTTTAACAAACACCAACTTCAATTCCATTTGCAATTTTAACACCAACTTTAAATTTAACTTTTCAAGAATAAAAATTAAAATATGACAAAGTCTTGAGAACATTTTCTTGAAGCAATTTTAATTCTAAAAAGCTAACAAACATAACAACATGCTAAAATACTAAAAATGTCAGAACAGTGGCTGGTCAAGCTTTTACAGAAGAGGATTAAATCAGTTAAAAGAAAAAGACACAAAACTATTAAACTTAAAATTAAAAATAACATAACTATTAATACTGCTAAAGTTGTTATTAAATTTGCAAAGATTGTTAATAAATCTGCAAAGTTCGTTATTAAACCTATAATGGTTTAATAATGAACTTTGCAGATTTATTAATAATTTATATTTAGTTTAATAAATTATATTTTTACTTAATATTTTTTTATATTTTGATACCTTGTTTTAGATTTATTATATTGTTTATCAGAAATTTGTGAAAGTTTATTATTTTTATTTTTGGCAATATATTGTTATAATACTACCAACAAATGTAAATAAAATTATATATATATATAATTAGTTTAATAAATTATATTTAATAATTTATTAAACTAATTATGTTATACTTTAAAATTGATAACAACTTATTTCAAAAATTACTCAATATTATTAAAAAATATAAACTAAGAACAATTAAAAAAATATCTTTACCTAACAACTTTGTCTTTAATTTCTTGGGCACCATTTTTCAGTTTAAAATGACCAGTAAAAAACTTAGAAATATATTCCCGATAAGAATCTCGATCTTCTAATTTTGCAATATAACATACACTTAGTGAGTAAATTAATGCCAATTGCATTTTCTTATAAATAGCAAACTAAAAATAAAAAGAAATAATAAAAACTGACTATAAATGTAAGTTATATGACTATGACTTAGGTTCTAAAAAGCTTGTTTTCTATTTTATTTTTCACTAAGAACTGAAATTTTTAATATATTATAATAAAATTAATAAAAAAAATTAAAAAACTCTAAATTATATATAAGAAAAACATAATGACAGGACAGAATTTCAATTTTTTTTAAAGAATAAAGGTACAGTAAAAGGAAGCAACTTAGCTAAATGTTCTGTTATAGTTTTTGTTGATGGAACAAATGATGATAGATCTCTAGAGCATTGACAAGTGGTCACACTTGTTGAAAAGTGAAAGAGAAACAGCAATAAAGGGGAAAAAGGTTTAAGCTTAGCTGGAGCAAGTACATTTACAATGCATTTTTAGACCTTGCATAAAAGAGAGAGGGCCTAACTAAAAGAAGTAGCCTAAATATGACAACAGTATTTTATACAAGGGTGAATAAAGGATTAAAGAGATTAAAAATCAAAAAGCACAATAAAGAAAGATAACCTTAGCAGATAAATTTTACAATTGATTGTATATATGGTTTCCATAAGAGGTCAGTAATGTATGATAATTAGAGAAGACGTAAATTAGAGAACTCAGTAAGAGTCTTTCCATTTTTTAGGAGAGCAAAAACAACTTGTTAGTAACCAAAAAACAACTGAGTTTTGTTTGGGTTAAAAGTCACCACAAGCCCGAAACTGCTACAGAAGAGTGATCAGATTTAAGATCAGCTGTTTGTTCCAAAAGATCAAAAAGTATTTTGTCAAAAACTAATATAATCAGTCTGCAAATAATTAATATAGATAAGGAACAACGCAGGATCAAAGGATGAAACTATGTGGTACCTCATAGAAGTTACTGAAAGTGAAGGAGAGTGTTATCCATCAAAAGCAACTTTACTGCAATTAGAATAGAATAATTTTAACAACATTAAACCATATAAAGGAAGCTTACTCTTGTTGAAGGTGTTAAACAAACCTATAGAGAAAACAAGTATGCCAGAATTTACTTAAAAGCTATTGAGATATTAAGAGCAATAGCCCATGCCTCACTAACAATGCTAATCTCTCAGTTAGCAACTACCAAATTTTGGAAATAACTTCTTTTTAAGAAATTATTAAAATCATTATTACTAATAACAGATAATATAATGTAGTAAGGCTAATTTTATAATTATTGTTTTATGACAAAATGTTTATTAACATTATTATTCATTAGGTTTGGCAATTTTAAAAGTTGTTTTCTAAATTCCAATGCATTTGTCATGCATTGGAATTTAGAAAAGGTATTACCTATTGGAATATTTTCTTTTAAATATATTTATCCTATTATTAGGAGACAAAAGTGTTAATTCTAGTTATATTTATTCAAGTATTTGATATCAAATTTAAAAATATGTTTTATTTTTTTAAAACTTAAATATCTAAATATTAAAATAAAACTGACACACAGGTTTTTTTTATAATAACTTTTTTTTAAAAAACATCTATTTAAAAAAAAAAAAAAAAACTTTTACTAATGTTAATAAAAAAACAAATATAAAAACAAAATTGTTTAAATAAGCAACTGTTAAGTGAATAAATTGTTTCTTATTTAAGTTATTAAGTTTATATTTTGTATTTTAAGTGGTTTAATTTTACTTTTTTTTGTGCTTAAAATTCTTTTGATATTTTTATTTAATAATAATTACAATTATAGTAAATTAATTGTTGTAGTTTAAATTTAAAGTTAAATTTAAAGAATATAGTTTAGTGACTATTAAACTATAGTTAACTATTTCATTGCTAAGTTCAGTTCAAGCATTGCAGATTACTTGCATTAAACATTGAAAAAATATTAATCTATCTTTGTTAGATTGAATATTTGGCTAGTGAGCAATGACTATCTTATTATGCATCAATATAGACATTTTTCACGCTACATACAAATGCATAAATTATCAGTCTCAAACATCTTGTGGCAAAAACTTTTTAAAACTGTCTTAAATGTTTTTGTTTGATCTCATCCTTTATATTTTCTATATATGGCACTACAGTTACATACAGAGATGTGAGGCATTTTTTTTGGTTCTTGTTTTAATGGTCTTTTTTGGCATTTATCAGGTAAAAAAAACAAAGAAATCGGTTTATTATTTTTTTTTTTGGAAATAATTAAAATGTTCATGATTTGAGCTACTAAATTCAACTTTAATAGCAACATCTTAATTCATATTTTAATTTTAGATTTAAATAGGACAATTAATAATGAAATTTACTAATTTTCTTTTTATTTGGTATGCTAACAGGTTAACACAATTGGAGCAGTTCTGTATAAAAACTTCTTAGATAATTTTATTTTTCTTAATTTTATCTTAATTGGTTTTAGTCAAAGATATATAAAATACTAGATACAGCATAGGCAGATAAAATCGAAGCCGGGCAAATTTTATTATGATGGCAGAAAAAACAAATTTAGTTAGGAACAGCATATATATTATTCAAATATTTAAATTTTATATTTCAATTTCAAGTTATATTTTGCGTTTCATAAAATATAAAGTTATTTTTATTATTAAAGGATATTCATTTAAAAACTTTTTTCTACATAAAAAGATTTTTCAAATTCAAAAAAATAAATAATTTGTTCCAAAACTCTGCAGTGCAAGTAATAATTTTATTAAATTCCACAAACTAACTTAGTCTATAACTCCTATATGGTTTTATATTACAAGATATCAACTTCTTAAATGAACTAGATTTAAAGCATTGAAATTTTATCAAAAATAATTAAAACACATCTAAGCAAGAAGCTATTGTTCAGTTTACCTTCGAGTGATTTCTTGCAATATTTGCATTTAAAATGCGATGCCCAAGATTTGCCTTGGTCCTCAATCAGCACGTCGAAGTATGCCTTGAAGGCCTCGCACATTATACAACTTTCTTCAATAGAATATTTTTCTTTATGAATTGTCTGCACACATAGCAGAATGAAAAAACTGGATGCAAGCAATCTCTTGATGCTATAACAAATAAAAAACTTTTCTTCAACTTTGAATCGTTATCCTTTTAGTCTGCAATAACACTAATTGGAATCTTTGTTTAAGACACTTGTTCTTTTATACTTGTGCAGCTACTTTTGGAACATTTAAGAACCTTCTAGAAAGTTCTGAGACTTTCTCAAAAGTTTCTCTAGAAGTTTCTTGAACGTTCTAGAGTGTTTTGAAGAATTGTAGAAACATCTAACTGAACAACTCTGGCAGCTCAGGAACATTATAGGAGGAGGCTTGAATTTTCTCAAAAACACATGATTTTCCAAATTTTATTGTCCTGGTCACAGAAGCCAATTTTTTTTGGAATAAGAGCGAGTTCCTTTCTGTTCTAGACCTAACGGGTTAGGGAAACACACTTTCTTTATATAAAAAGAAAATTTTAATGGAAATGTTTCATATTTCTCTTTGGGCTTTCATTGTTTAGTCTAGATCAAGCACTGCATATTACCTAAACTGAATATGACAAAAAAAAAAAAGCATTGAGTTCATGGTTGATACCTATTCCACTTAGCCTAACATGGATTTTAATCACACTCACTGATCCCTGAATAGAGCATCAGAGTATCTCTTAAGAAAATTGTGTGCTTTTTATAGCCATAATATATTTGCCAGTATCATATTGACAGGAACCATAAAGAAAAATTGTTTAAATAACTGTCAAGTGAAAATATTGAAGTGGCCTATTTATTAGGTAACTAAGAGTATTAAATAAAAATAAAAAAATAGGATACTTATGAATTTTTCTATTGATAAAAATACCATTCATTAGTGATGAATATTTACAAACAGAAATAAACTGATGATGCATAAATATAATAGTATAAAACAGTTACTGTAAAGTAACAAAAATAATTATAGTACCAGGTGTACCAGTGTGAAGTGTGTGTTAAGATACAAATGTGTTGATAAGGAACATTTACTGTGATTAATTTATTTTTTTGGTTGGTATAAAACCTGTCAAACATACATCAAGTAATCAAACAAAAAGAATTTTTTTTTTATCATATTAAAAATGTCAAACTTAATTCTGGAAAAGAGTTGCAATGAATGCTTGTCGAGGCTAATGGTGACCATACTCTATCAGAAAAAATATCCAAAGAACAGCTCAGAGATGTGATTTTGAAATAAAGAATGTGGAGGACCACTAAAAAAGTTTGAAGATGCCAAAATACAAGCAATAATGAATGAAGATGATACTTTTAGTCAAAAGCAAATAGAAAAAATATTAAATCTTAAGCACTTTCTGACTGTTTGAAAGCGAAAGATCCAAAAGTGTGGAAAATAGATGCTACATGATTTGAATAAAAGACAGATGGAAAACATATGTGAAACTTTGCATCAAAGACAAAAGAAAATCAGTTTGCATTGAATTATTTCTAGCGATAAAAAAAGAGTTTATTTTAAAAATTCTAGAAGGAAAAAATCATGGGGTAATTCGGGACAACCATTAACATTGACTGCAAAACCAGATTGGTTTGACAAGAAGATAATGTTCTATGTTTAGAGGGATCAGAAAGGTCTAGTGAGTCATGAGCTTTTAAAAACCTGGTGAAACTAGCAATACTAATCAATAAAGACAATAATAGATCAAACTGAAACATGCATTTATCAAAAAATTACCAAAATGGCCCAGAAGCCACAGCAACGTAATTTTGTCACATGACAATCCACCTGCACACAAAGCAAAACTGGTTCAGAATACAATTTAAGCACCTGGTTTTTGTTAGACATTTATTTTTAACTTTTATTTATGTAAAATTTTAGAAATATTAGAGTTGTTTTATAAAAAGTGTACTTTAACTTTTTTAACCTTATAACTTTTAAGTGGTTCTCCTAATTCTTATAAACTTTTTAATTTTTTTCATTTTTATTCATGTAAAAATTTAGAATTATTAGAGTTGTTTTAAAAGTATATATAGAGCTTAAAGAACTTGCGAGAAATTAAGCAATAATAAATAAATTATAATAATGCAATATAATTTTAAATACATAAAACTAAAGAATATTCTAACTGCAACTAAGATAAATTGTTTGTTAAAAATGTATTTAAAAAAATTTAACTTATTCCAAGTTAAAATTTATTCATTGAAAATTTATTTATTGTAATACCTCATCATCAGTAATGTTTGTAAATAAATCAATTTTCTTGTAAAACCAACTTGTGACTAATAAAGTCCTTTCCACATCTCTTAAACTGACAAAACTGCACTCATCCTAAGCAAAAACAAAAAAGGTTTTCATAAAATACTCAAAAAAATCGTGTGATCTTTGGACAAAATCAAAATTTTCAAGTTATTTGTAATAAATAGTTAGCAGAAAGCTGCCAACATAAATTGACAAGAAAAAAAATTCTATAAAGATGAAAACTATAAAGATACTGCTCCAAATGATAGTTCTTAGTACATATTTAGGCAGGGTTCTAAATGTTTATTAAATATGGAGCATCTTATAAGAATTATTAATATATGAAGCTTTGGGATAAGCGAATGCTTCAATTTAAATATTAACAAAAAAGCATCTGTAGAGGTAATTATTTTAAAAACAACAACGCCAGCAACAAGATACAGGTATGAGGGAAATTTTTGATGATTAGCTTATGTTCAATACTAAGACTAAAAAAAAAAAAAATTTTTATTCTGTTTAATTGAATCAAAGGAAAGATAAAAGGCCTGGAAAAAAGGCCACATTAATTTTTTACAACAGAAAACTAAAAAAAAAACTAATTTGGATGAACTTTACCTTGCACACAAATAAATCACATTAAAGGTACTTTATATCTGTAACTGATAGAAAAGTTTTGAAATTTTTTTTTTTCTAGAAACATTAAAATGTATAACCAAATTAATGTCAATAAAACTATTATACATTTATTTTAAAATCCAATCATCTATACTAAGTTTTAAGAAACAAGTTTTCTAGAAATGTTAAAATGTATTATAAGAATGTGCTTCCTATCAATAAGTTTCTAGATCTATGTTAAAAAAGTGTAAAATAAAAAAATTTAAATGTAAATTGTCAAAATAAAAAAATGTAAAATATCAATAAAAATCAATAAAATATAGAGTAAAAATCAATAAAATATACAATAAAAATAAATAAAATATAGAGTAAAAATAAATAAAATATAGAGTAAAAATAAATAAAATATAGAATAAAAATAAATAAAATATAGAACAAAAATAAATAAAATACAGAATAAAAATAAATAAAATATAGAATAAATGCAAAATATAGAATAAAAATAGGAATATAGTAATAAAAATAAAAATAAAATGCATATAATAAATAGTATATTGATTATTCTTGTCATATTTAAAATATCTGGAAAATTTTTTTATAAAAATATCTGTAAAAATATTTTGAAGACATTTTGATTTCCGGATTTTTAAGAATATGTCTATATTTGTAAAAATCCGGAAATCAAAATGCTTTTTGTGGGTTTAAGAATATCTCATGTGCATGAAAAGATAATTTTCGGCAGGCTTCTATATAAAAGAAGAATATTTAAATACCTACTTAAAAAGAGTTTATTACTTCAAAAACTAGATTGTCAAAATAATTAAAGTGATCTTTATGTGCTGAGTGTTTACGTATCTTAAATAATCTTTAAAAAATAAGTTTTATATTATTTAAATGTTCCAAAACATTTGGAAAAAGCTTTCAAACTTTTTCAAACAAAAACTTCAATAAGTAAACGCTTTAAAAATCTAACTTATATTTGATTTATTTTATAAACAAAATTAGTATTGGTGCAATAGATATGTAAGTTTAAAAATAATGATACAAGTTTTGCTGATTAAATCTTAAAACCAAAATAACAATTTTTATTTGGATTTAGTAAAAAAATAGTGCAAATAAATTTGATTTCATGGTAAATGAAAACGAAATATTTTAATGGAAACAAAAATAGAACAAAAAAGAAAAGCAGTATTATTAATATATATAAGTTTTTATTAACCTCTCAACCGGAAGTATAATGGCAAAACAATAAATGCTTTTTTGGTAATATCTCAATAAATAAATTGATTTGGTAATTTTAATTAACTCAATACTTATTTTATAATTTAAATATATTCATACATTTTTTAATAGGTTGATTAAATTAAAAAAAAAAAAAATTGCTTTTATTTAGCATTTTTTGAGCGATTGGTCAGCTTTACGTGAATAACATTTTTAACAACTTTGCTCAAATTTTTATTTACGTAAAGCTGAGCAATTACTCCAATTTGTCATAAATAAAAAATATACACGTTCAAGGATATATTTTTTAAATCTACGTTTTACGTAGGCCTCACCTCAAGTAAAATATAGCATAAAAAAATTGATGAACGATAAACTATACCTTACTGTTTTAAATATTTGATTTCAAAAAAAATATTTTTAAATTGTATCTCCAGAAAACTATTTGGATATAAGGATAAAATTAAAAATTATAAAAATATCCGGAATACCCGAAATATATAGAAAAAGATAATCCCTGATAGTATTAAAATATTAGCAATAACCAATAAATGTATCAAAAATATAAATGTAATAAAAATGAAAAACAAAAAGTTAAAAATAAATATAAAATTTAATTTAACCTAGGCATAAATTTTGATTTATTGGTAAGGGAATTTTACAACCCTTTGCTAACATGCAAGATTAGTAAAAAAAAACTTATTAAGTTTATAGATGCCCTGAATAAAAAACTTAAATCTTTCTGTTGTTTTTTTTGGGTCAGGGTAACAATATCAGCTTGGCTTGTCTAATAACGTCTGCCTGTTAACATCTATAAATATAATGAGGCATAACTACATCTGTCCAACAACATCTGTAAATATTCCAAGACATAATTACATTTTTCCAACAACAACAAGGCCACCACATGGAGAAACATGTTGAGCTTGGTACATTCTTTTCAAGCTAAGGAGACACAACCCAAAGTTAATCAGCAAGAGTATCAGCTTGTGGAAAAATTAATAGTTTGCTTGTATACATAACAGTTGTATGACAATAAAAAGTTATTACACATAAAAGAACTTTGAAAAAGAACTGAATTCTTTTCTTGCTATAAGAAACTGATCAACAAAAACAAAAAACTCACAATTTATTCAAGGCTGATCAAAACTGGTTACTTTAATGACTGATACAGCACATTCAATTATTAATTATTTCCTAGAAAGTAAGATTTGACGTATTAATATATTTCAATTATAAAAAATTTATAGGTGTGTTTAAACTTTTTTCTCTACTTTTTATGATTACTTGTGTTTATTTTGGAAAAAATTTTGTGTTTTTTTATTAAGTTTTTTAATAATTATTAATCAGCTTAGGATAAAAAAAAAACAAAAAAAAATGTAGACCCTGCAAATTATAAATTAAAAACATTTTTTTTTTTACATTTACAAAAAAAATTTTATGAGTTGCTGACACTATAATAAAAAAGAACTCTTTAAAATTACTTTTGCTTTTTTTAAAATTAATTTTTTAAAATGGGGGATTTAATGTAACTATTATTTGAGCTCACTTATCAGTATAGTTTTTTTAGGAGAAACTTTTTTTCATGCCTGCATTTAGAAATCAATCTAATTTTTTGTTTAATAAACATTCTTTGTTCAAAGGATTGCTATTGATTGGCAAAATGTTTTTTCCATTCACCCTCTGTTTAGCCAATATATTGTTTATCAGATACATTTTTAGAGGAAACAACATTGTTGAATTAATTTATTAATGCAAGCACCAATATAAGTTTCATCTAAAACATCTTCTCCTAAAAACCTAAAAAAACAAGTGAGCTCAAATAATAATAAAATTAAATAAACCCCCTTTAAAAAATATTATATATAAAAAAATATTATATTTACAAAAAAAAAGCCAAAATAACTAATTCTAAAGAATTCTTTTTACAATAATATCAGCATATTTCACAAAATGCATGAAAAGTTACAGTAGTTAAGACATTTACAACTTCTTGTAATTTGATTTTTGGCATAAATTGAAGTTTTATTAATTTAATCTTTCAATTCTGATGAGTCTTTATTGATGAAACACAGTATTAAATGAAAAATGTTTGAAAAGTGATTTTCTACTAATTTAATATATACATATATACATATATATATACATATATATATATATATATATATATAATATATATATATATATATATATATATATATATATATATATATATATATATATATATATATTCCTAATAAATGCTCATCCACAGTGCACTATGATAGGACTGTAAGGACTTCTTAGGGCACCTTAATAAAGATTAAATAATAAAAAAAAAGGTTATAAAATGTATAAAACACCAAAAAAAATTGCATCACAAAATGGTTTTACATTAACGCAAGCCCTTTATATTGTTAAAACAACTTTGCAGTTTGTTTTATTGTTGTTTTTTAGTGTTTTACAATAACAATTAAATGAGGAGCCTATCTTTAAAACGCGCACAAAAAGTCACAAAAATAAAATTTTCAGTTAATTTTATTTCCACATTTAAATTTTTTTATTTTTTGCAATTAAATAATATATATATATATATATATATATATATATATATATATATATATATATATATATATAATATATGTAAATTGATTTTAATAAAAAGGCAGCATGTAACTATTTTTAAATATATTTTGATATAAAAATATATTAACGATATTTCGCTTACCTATTGTGGTCAGCGCCATCAGGTAATAATAAAATGTTACAAAATAACATAAAACAAACTGTTTAAAAAGAAGACATTAAAAAACGTCAAATATAAAAACCAATTAAATAATATAATAATGATGTCAGTTAAATTTTTGTCAAAATGGGTCCCCAAGTTCTTGTTTTAACCTTATCCTTGTCATCTCGATAGAACACCTTCCCCAATACCTATCTCATATCTAACTTTCGCTTTGTTAATCTCCAGGGATTCTCTAATTTTTCGTATCCTGTATTCTTGAAAAACTGCCAAGGTCTTAGGATTTAGTAAATCAAAGTTACCACGGCATGTTCTAAAATATTCTGTGGCTCATGAACTTGACCATTTTTGATTTTTGCAAGCTCTTTGGTGTTCAGCACTTCTTAAAATGATTTTATTTTTTTGGTCTTACCAATATTTATATTTCTGCATGAGCATTTAAGTTGATAAACTCCTGGATTTGAGTTCGGAGGTAGTTTTGTTTTGTTGTTGCATAATATGTTATTTAAATTGGGAGCTGAAGTAAATATAACTGATGTTTCGTTTTTTAAATTCTCTTCGGAGTTTTGGGCCAATAATAGGTATTCAAGGTAGTTTAACAAACTTTTGATCTAATTGATTGGATGTAGTATTTTTTGAAATGCCATCTAAATAGTTTTTGGTTATTTTAATTAGATTATTTTTGTTATAGCCGTTTTCAAAAAATATATTTATGAAAAAATTAATTTCATGTGAGAGATATTTTTGAGAGCAGATTTGTTTTGCTCGATATAAAAAACCTTTAAAGACACCAGTGGTTATGTTTGGGTTGATGTTGGAGTTTGGTTTTATTTGAACATTTGTTATTGCACCCTTACAATGTACTTGAAACTCATAAAATCATTGTATTTGTAATACAAATATCTAAAAAACTAAGTTGTTTTCTTTCGTTTTCAAGTTCAATGGTATATTTTATGGAGGGGTTTTGTTCATTTAAAGCTTTAAGAAATAATTCTTGTTTTTCTTTTAAATTAAAGCAAGCATGGCTATCATCCACATATCTTTTGTAAGTTATTGGTTGGAATGAACTAACAAAGGCTATATCAAGTGCTCTTTTTTCTATAATTAGCAAAAATGCTTCAGCTATGACTACCATCAATGACAAACCAATTGGACCTGAATTAGGTAAAACTCGGATTTTATCTTCGTATAAAAAGTAACATATATTTAATGATAGTTCAATAAATTGGTGTATATCTATGAGAGTTAATTTAGTCCTAGTTTTTAAATCTTCAAAATCATTGTTCAATATGTTAATAATAACAGGAATTGCTTCATTTATTGGTATGGATAGATATAAATTAATTACATTGAAAGAAACCTGAATTTCATTAGGGCCTATCTTCTATTCTTTAGCATTGTTGACAAAGTTTCTTGAATTAATTAGTCGAGTTATATTTTTATTTAATGTTGGTTAGATAATTTTGACAAGATACTCAGATGTTCCATAAGAAGGTGTGTTAATAGTAGAAACAACAGAATATATATATATATATATATATATATATATATATATATATATATATATATATATATATATATATATATATATATATATATACACTTACTAAAGCTTATTTTTATAAGCATTTGCTCACTTTTTTTGCTTACCTTAATCCATACGGCTTTTTTAGAAAAAGAAGAAAAAAAACGAACATTGATGAATGAAACGATTGCTGCGCCATCCCAAACCCTCAGTCAATGTAGCAGCACTTTACTGCGAGTCAGGCTATTTGTCAGTCGATGTATGTACTAAAGCCCCCGGCAGCAGGTTAGTTCAGTATGACGTCAGATTGCTTACTTTAGTACGCAATACTATTTGTATATATATATATATATATATATATATATATATATATATATATATATATATATATATATATATATATATATATATATATATATGTCATATTATATTTAACCTTTTGCCTTCTCATATAAGCTTGGGATTCTTTAAGCACACAAGCAATTAACTCAAAAAACAGAACATCATCAGGTAACTTGCCTTCATTTACCTACAAAATTAAATAATCATTAATATCAAATCCATTTAGCAATAATCATTAGCATATAAATTTTTATACAAATTTTAAAGCTTAGATAAAGCTTCTATCATTATAGATATATTATTTTATGTATATAATATATTTAAAGTTTGCATATATTTTATAAAATTTAACAAATAAAAAAAAAAGTATTTTTATCTGTTAAAATTATACAATTATAAATTGCATTTTTTAATGTGTAACAAAATCATTAAAATTTAATAAATATTGTAATTTATATAAATAATTGCTTTTAAAATATTTAAATAAAAAAAATAAAGCGTAATTTTTCTCACATATCTTGAAATTATTTGCCTTGTGTAGACTTCTTCAGTCTCAGAATCTAATTGACCAAAGTCCCAAACAAATGGAACCATGCTATTTGGTAAAGGATGCACACGGTAAACCAATTGCCTCAATGGAATATCGCCTAGATGTTAAGCTAATGTTTTACATTTTTTTTTTTTTTAGATTAATAGTATTGTTTAATAAACTTTTTGCCTATTTTTTTTTGAAAACAAAAACAAAAACAAATTAAAAGATTTAAAACTACAATCCTAAAAGGTACAAATATATAAATAAATATAAATATATATATATATATATACAATATATATAAAATATATATAAAATATTTAAATTAAAAAAAAAAAAAAAAAAAAAAGAAAAAGAAAAAAAAAAGAAAAAAAACTTAAAAAAAAAAAAAAAAGAAAAACTCAACATCTGTATATATAAATAAGAGAGAAAAGAAGAAAAGATTGTTAAACAAATAATAATGATATACGCAATAATAATAGTAATAATACAAAATAATAACAATAATAATAAAGTACCAATAATATTAAGAATATTATAATACAATATAAATTGTATGTACAAATCATAGATGATAATTAGATATAATAATAACATAAAATGTAACATTAATAACACAGTAATAAATAAATATAAGATAGGTAAATAATAAATAAAGTAAAAATCAAACCACTTGTTTGTTAAAGAGATTATATATTGAAGACAACTACAGTACAGAGAGAAATTATAAAGAAATACACTCCAACAATATATTTTTAAATTGAATTCTGTTGAGCAGTAAAAAATTTGTAACAAGTGAATATTTTTTCTTGGTCATTTTTATTAATGCAGGAATACACTGGTTCCATTGAGAAATACATTGTTGTTTTATGAGAAACTTACCATATTTGATTGTGTTGAAAAAAGAATAGTATAGCTTACTATTTTTTGTATTCCTGTTGTGATGATTATGAACTTCGTTTGTTTTTATAAAAAAATTTGAAAAAGAGCTTGGTAGTTTATTTTGGAGAAAGTCAAACACAAAAAGACAATTGTAAAACTTTACAAGATTATGGAGTTTTCGGATTTTTAGTTCAGAAAATTTTTTTTCGATATTAGATCTCATTGGGAAAAAACATCATTATTCTAATAGATGTGCGTTATAAACTAGCAATGTTATTAAGTAAAATGTTTTTTTGTTTTTTTTTAAATAATATATATATATATATATATATATATATATGTATATATATATATAAAATATATATAAAATATATTATATATATACATATATATATATATATATATATATATATATATATATATATATATATATATATATATATATATATATATATATATAAATATATACACACGAACAAACCTCTTTGGCTCAATCGTACTCTTTTAATCCTCATAAATAAAAAAAACAGATTATGACGTAAAAATCAATCTTTAAAGTGGAAAATATCTGAGCTTGTCAAATAATACAAAAAATTAAAATCTTCTTTACAAGTACAAAAATGATTAACTATTAAAAAAATTAAACATAGTTTAGCATTTGATACAAAAAAATCCCAAACATTTGTTTAGTTATGCTAATAGTTCACGCAAAATCAAACAAAGCATCAAATCAATTCAAAATAAATATGGAGTTACTGGGACAGATGGTAGATTCATTGTAGACACATTAAATGATAAATTCAAATCAGTCTTCAACAATTATTCAGTTGACAAAGATTCTCCACTACTTTCAGATCGTACAACTGAGTGTTTATCAAGACTTCATTTTTCAATAGATGATATCAAAAATAAGTTAAAAAATTTAAAACCAAATAAAACAACCGGACCAGACAATTTCCACCCAATGATATTAAAACAATGTGCTAATGTACTATCTTTACCTCTAAAAATTATATTCAATAAATCACTATCACAAAGATCGATTCCTCATGCATGGCGTAATGCAAATGTTACTCCACTATTTAAAATAGGTGATACCAATGAACCAAGTAATTATAGACCAATTTCTCTTATATCTATTCAATTTAAATTAATGAAAAGCCTAGTAACCAATGACATTGTAAATCTCCTCTCAAAACTAAATTTATTGTCTCAATCTCAACATGGTTTTGTAAAGAATAAAGCATTTGTTACAAACTTATTAGAATCCAATGATTATGTTACAAAATCCTTAGCTAACAAAAATGCAGTAGATGTGGTATATCTGGACTTTTCATAAGCTTTTGACACAATCTCTCACAAATTGTTAATCATCAAGCGTAAAACTTATGGAATAGTTGGAGATTTTCTTGATTGGATTAAAGACTTTCTCACTAATAGAAAACAGAGAGTAATACTTGGAGAACACATATCTAATTGGGCTCACATTACTAACGGTGTCCCACAAGGCTCAGTTTTAGGCCCAATACTTTTTATAATTTACATGTGTCAGTAAACTTTATGCAGATGATTTGAAATTAATGAATGAGCTATGAGTAAAAACTATTCTTAATGATACCTCTGACATTCAAACTGATTTTAATAAAATCGCTAAATGGACAAAAGTTTGTTTGATGAAGAAAAATGTAAAGTTATATATTTTTTCATATGGGAAGAAACAACCCACACTTAAACTATTCATTTCAAGATTTATTATATTACTTCAAGTTTTATTATAATAATTATTATAATAATAATTATATTACTATTGTAATACTAGCAGTAAGCAACTTGTAATACGGTGTCGCATTAAATAAGTAGATCGTTAAATAAGTAGACAGTCAGTTCTGCGCAAGCCTAACGCATGCGCAGATACGCTTCCATTAGGTAGGTTAAATCTATTGTTAAATAAGTAGCCTTGTTTACGTTAGGTATAAACTTAAAAAACAAAAATAATAATATTTTTAAAAACTATATAATAAAAAAAAAAAAAAAAATTTTTAAAACTATATAATTAAATTGCCAGTCTATAATTACTCAGTTGAAGATGTTTAGCAGTATGTCGCTGGTGGAATAATATTTTATTATAATAAAAAATGTCAACTTTATGGTATGTGTATATTTAAGTTAAACTTTTATATAATTTGTGATTAAGAGTTTATTATTATTGTGTATATACACAATAAAAATCCAAAAACAACCGTAGGTTTTGAGATGCTGAGACAGTAAAAAATTAACTTCAGAAACATACAATATTATAAAATACGTATTTTATATTATTGTATGTTTCTGAAGTTAATTTTGTACTATGTCTCAGCATCTCAAAACCTACAGTTGTTTTGGGACTTCTAACAAACAACAACAACAACAATAACAATATATTTCATGTTACAGATGTTACAAAAACACAGGTCATTGCAAATAGTGATTCACTAATAAAGGGCAATGACCTAAATAAGATAAATAATAATAATAACAATAATAATAATATGTAATAAGTAAAACCACTTAAAAAAGTAGGTTATAAAAGGAAATTAAGTTAAATAAGTAAACATAATATTAACTAATAAAAGAAAAATTGCATAAAAATTTATCTAATACCAAAAAAATCAGACTTTTTAATATATATAACAATTAATATAATGTACATTTATATATATGCACATATACTTAAACAAGAATTATAATAAAATAAGTAAATTATAATAAAAATAATTATTTAAAATAAAATATTAAAAATAAAATTATAATAAAATAATAAACTATAATAAAAATAAAAATATAAGTCAAAAGATAGAAAATAAAAAATTAAAAACGAAAGTTGTTTGGAAAGGAGTTCTAAGAAAGGATGCACTGGTATGCAGTGGAATTAATTCCATGTTTAGTTGTCTGTTTTAGTGGAAGAGTTAAGTTGTTATAAGTGACTGATCTTAGGTTATGCCCACATGTTGTGCTATTATTAAAGTAGTTGTGAAATATAGTAGGAAGGACACCATGTTGTTGATCCCAGACAAATAAACAATTTAAGAACTGAATTAAATCATAGAAACGAAGAATTTTGGATGTAAGATATAGGATGTCAGTAGAAAAATTTCTCGGACAAAAATGAATAATCCGTACCACTCTATTTTGAAATGAAACAACTCTAGAGAGACATACGGTTTTAAATTGTCCCCAAACTTGACATGTGTATCATATATGTGAAACAAAAATTTAGTGATATATAGAGAGCAATGTTTCAAAGTTAATGTAATGTCGAACATTGCTAACATGCCGTTGGAACGGCTTAACTTCTATTTTATGCGTTGACTTATTTGTCAATTTTGCCTAGATCTATTGATTAATTTTGTTGTATATTTAAGTGCTGCAATTAAGTATTACTAAAAATATTTATTAAAAACAGTCTAAGATTAAATTAACTGTAAATTTATTACGGATTTGAACATAACTTTTATTAAGTGACCCTAGGTACAGTCTAAAAAAAGCTTATTGTTCTAGGGCCACTACTTTTTAAACCCTTCTACTTGATAGAATTTTATTATTATAAGTCAATATACTTATACAAAGTAATTAGTGCAGAGATATGATCGTATCAGTTTCGCCATTTATACACAAAATTCCCCTAGACTTTGTTGGACCTCTTGCTTTAACAAAACTTGGAAAAAAATGTATTATTAAAATTACTGATTGTTAAAGTAAATATACTGAAAAAATAACAGTTTATGTAACTACTTTATTTTATAGATTTTTGATACTCTTCAAAAAACTCTAAAATTTTTCACCAAACCAATCAACGAGAAAAAGGTTGAGAATTCAAACTGGTAATGGTATTACCAGTTAACAAAATGCTTCAAAATTAACAAAGTGCTTTGAAAAAAGCTATTTATTAATGATAGTATCATTGTAAAAATGGGCTGTCGAAGTTTTTTAATACAGTCTAAAGACAAGGCCTTAGATATTTAAAGAGACTCATTTGGCTGGTCATATGACATCTTGATTGATATAGCACAAAGTTTGTTTTTATATCAGTTTTCTAAAATATTTAGATTTCCAAGTTTAAAATATCTGAGTTTCTTTTCATTTTTACTTGTTTAATTCAAGTGGTTTTTCAGATTTTAAAGAAGTTTATTTTTCAGAAGTTATATTGGATGTTTCTAAGTAATGTGTCCTGATGTTGTTTCACATTAAAAGTGTGTTCAGTTTTATGATTCACTCTTTAATAGTTTAAGTAAAGACGATGTGTCATTCTTAGTGCATAGAGTTGTACATGAAAATAATTGTGATCTTTTCTTAAAAGGAAATGCAACGGTATGATGGTACGACAGTATATTTGTGTAGCAGTATCAACCTAAGTTTGATTATATAAAAAGGTAATAAAATGACCTAACAGTACCTGAAATTATAAAATATTTTAAAAATTTTGAGAATTGAACATTAGAGATGTTACCTTTTGTTACTATGTTATACTTTCATAAAAGGTGTGCCTTTAGTTGTGAATGTATCCTGTTGTTACTGCTGTTTTTGTTTTTATTTTTATAACTTATTTGAATATTTAAATTCAATCATTATATATAAATACATTTTTTTTATTTTATTTCAAATCCTTCTGGCACACATTTAGAGTTCATTTTATTAATCAATTTATTGACATATATTGATAAATGCATTTATTAAGTACTTTTTTGGTACAAAAGCAGGTACTTTTATTATTATTTTTCTATCATTGCAATTTATGATACAATTTATATTTTACTATATTTCTATTCTATATAGGCTCGTAATTCCATGTGGAAAAATCGAATTTCATCCGAAAATGCCCAAGTTTCAACCAAGTTGATATTTTTTAAAAGAATTTAAAAACCATGTTATTTTATTTTGCTATTTATATTGTGTAAGGATATTTTAATCTTATTTTCAAAATAAAGTTTTAGTGTAGCATGAAATGTGTCGTTTCTTTAATGTCGTTTTTATTTAAAACCTTCGCATAGTAAGAAATAGTAAACTAAGTATAGATCACATTTTATTATTATTGTGCTACACATACACCGCTAAAATCCTCGAATAATACCTGTCTAGGTTGTTATTTAACGGCAGTACAGTAGTGGTGTAGTGGTAGAGCGCTTGCCTCATAATCGAGAAGTTCTGAGTTTCATCACCACCACGTCCTTGGTACTACCGCGCTCAACTTGTTTCTCCGTGTAGCGGTCTTGTTTGTATGGTTTGTGTTTCGGAGTTAAAGAGTTGTGAGAGGGTTGTAACCAGAACTAAAGCAGCCTCCGTGACTGGAGTAACTTTATCGTCCTTGAGAAGGTAAGTTAACACACATAAAAAAACTTGACACGAATTAATAAGTTCACTTCTTTTTTCTGTGATAACATCAGAATACTTTTGTTACTATTTATCTGCGTAGAATCAAGTAGCAATTACAAATTATACAATTGATAAGTTTAAAGGATAAAGATAAATAATTTAACGTGAAACCTTTTGCTAAAATGCACAGTTAAATTATTTAGGAATATAATAAACTTCCTTGTGAGATGACTATTTTATTTAATATTGTTAATGACCTAAAAAAAAGCTCTTTTTTAAAAATATGTTACTTGTCATACTATACTATTAAGGTATAAATTACGACTAGAATATATGTCGTGAGTATGTTTTTTTTTAATTTATTTGTCTGGGTTAACAAATAATGCCTTAATTGTTCAATTTGTCTACTTATTTAACGATCTACTTATTTAACATGACTACTACATTAAATAAGTATCCGTAAACTAACGCATGCCCAGAATATCATTTTGTCTACTTATTTAACTATCTACTTATTAAACGTGACAACGGGTTGTTAGTAAATAAAATTAAAAAAAAAACCTGCGTATAAAAAAGTCTAGAAACTACTTTAAAATAGAAAAGCCTAGAAAATGACGTCTACTAACTACTACTATTATACAAAAAAGTTGACTATTAACTACTACTATTAAATTAGCGTATTAATATTATCAGATTATTAATAATATTAATATTATTATTATTTACAATTTCGAAAAATCAGATGTAGAAAAAGATCTTGGTATATTTGTTTCAAGTAATGCTAAATATTTTCATCAAGTTATTCATGCTAGTAATAAAGCTAACAGAATGCTTAATATGTTAAAAAAAACATTTATATCAACAGATTTAATGTTATGGACCAAGTTCTACAAAACATATGTCAGACCTAACCTGAAATATGCAATTAGTGCTTGGTCACCTTATTTAATGAAAGATATGAAGATTATTGAAAAGATTGAAAGACTTTCTACAAAAGTCCTAACCATATGCAAACATCTTGGTTACACAGATGGATATATCTTATTTCAAATTCAAAAACTGGAGGATCTTAGAATAAGAAGTGACTTAATTCAAAAGTTTAAAATTGAAAAAGGTCTTACCATCATTAATTGGCACAATGAACCTATTATACGTCCAGCTTGATGTGATCAACGAGAACAGTTTATATGTGAATTTAACATAAATTGCAATCCATGATAAAATTTTTTTAATAATCGTGTTGCTAAGCATTGGAATGATGCAACAGTTAACTGTTCTTTGACTAACGAATTTAAACGAATGCTTGACAGTTCAATAGATTATATTGCCAATATAGTCATTATATGACTTTAATAGGATCTGTATCCTATTTGCAACTCATATACTGTTATTATTATTACTATTATTATTATTAATCTGTATGTGTGCACTTTTTTTTATATATAAATAATCAAATGAAAAAATGTTATAAAAAACAGTAAGATTATTAAATCCCGCAAAAAATGAAATATGCAATTGAAATTAACAAAAACCATTTTTTTTTTTTAAATTAAACTCTGATTTAAAAACCATTCTGCATCTAAATAAGTGGAAAAATACTTAAAATGTTATCAAGTCATTTAAAGATATAAAAAATAAACTCCATTATATATTCCTTATTTTTGATATCAACGACATCTACCCTTCAATTAGTAAAAAACTCCTTAACAATGCTATCAGACTTGTAGAACAACATCTCAGTCATTAGTCAATGAACAACATCTCAGTCATTATCATTAGTCAATGAATAGTCACTGAGTATGAAAACATTAGTCAATGATTAATCATGCAAAAAATTTTTTGCTGTTTAAAAATAACCAAGTTTGAAAAAAAAAATTCAAGCAGTTTATTTGATGTTACAATAGATGCATTCAATGATGCAGAGGTATGTGAACTTGAAGGAACATTTTTTCTATATCAAATTTTAAATTTTTATATTAAGTGTGACTTAAACTTACACAAAAATAATGGTTTGGCAGTTGTTAAAAATAAAAGCAACCCTCAGATAAAGAAAATTAAAAAGCATAATATTCATTTTAATGTAATGACCTTAAGATATCTATACAATGCAACCTCAAAATTGTTAACTACTTGATTTCTAAATTTTACAATTAACCACACAAACTGTATAACATTTTCAACAAAAACACTGCAAAATCCAACTACAGTTGCATGCCAAGCAGGAAATCAGTAATAAATTCATGCAACAAATACATCCCGAACAAAAATCCAATTATCAATTAAACTATCTGCAACTGCATTAATAAAAACATTAGCCTTTTAATCAATACCTGCTTGTTTTTAAAAAAATTGTACACCAAGTAACAGTCACTTCAGATCGTTCTAATGATAATTCATTCAAAAAATCTAACATTGGCTCAATGGAAATGACCTTCAAACCAGGGATGCCAAAAAGCCTCCAGCTTTATATCTTTATTTTTTTCTTGTCTCTGGTGTCTAGAAGCTCTAAACATGTTGGTTGACTTATGATCTGCTATATAAAAAAACTTGATATTAAATATGAAAATTAATGAGTTAAAGCATTGCTTTTAAGCCTGGAGTCCTTGCCCCCATTATACCTCTGGGTTCAAAAAGTAATTCTTCCTCTAACCTTAAAGTCTTAATTTTTTTACTAATAGCGTTCCATAAGTATTTTTTATATTACTAGATTTCTTGGATACCAAACACTAGGAAGAAGCAATTTTTTTATGACATTCAAATCCAGAGTCATTTTTTGGACTTTGCATCCCCAATGAGTATGAAATTATCCAAAACAAAGACAAATGTTTATTAAATATATCAAGTGAAATCATATTAAAATGATGTCTTCGAAATAAACTTCCTTCTCTCTCAATTCAAGTTTTTTTTATATATATATATATATATATATATATATATATATATATATATATATATATATATATATATATATATATATGTATATATATATATATATATATATATATATATATATATATATATATATATATATATATATATATATATATATATGTATATATATATATATATATATATATATATATATATATATATATATATATATATATATATATATATATGTATATATATATATTTATATATATTATATATATATATATATATACATATGTATATATATATATATATATATATATATATATATATATATATATATATATATATATATATATAACACTAGACTAAGACTTGATTTGTTTTGACGTCAGACTTTATTGCATTTACAATTTTTCTTTTTTCTTTTTAACATTTTTTTAAATTCAAAAATATCTGGTCAATGATTGCCACTAGGCATGAAACTATAAGTACCTCTGAAAAGTTGTATTTTGTTTGAATATATTTAAATATATCAAATATATTTAAAAAATTCAATATTTTGAATATTTTATAAAATCAATAGCTCATTTTTTACTAAAATTTATGTTTTAATGAAATTTTATATAATGATTTTTTTCAAATTAAAATTTATTTTATAAAATATATAAAATATAGAAACAAAAATCATCTTTTCCTTCTTTACACATTTTTTTTTTTTGTTAAATTAGTTACCTATTCTTTCATAAGTAGACTTGGAATTTACATGATACCCCAATCCAGCAGATTCTAACTTTTTTATCATATTTGTTGAATGTCTAAAAAGTAAATATACTATATTTATTTTTGATTCCTAATATATATATATATATATATATATATATATATATATATATATATATATATATATATATATATATATATATATATATATATATATATATATATATATATATATATATATATATATATGTAGAGTTCCATGCGGTTATTAAAACAAATCTCGTTTTAAAAAATAAAAATAATGAATTTTTTTTCCATTACTATAAGTATATAGTCTTAAATGTTAAAAAAAAAAAATTAAAGAAAAAAAAAAAAAAAATTGAACAAGATATTTATAAATTTTAAAGCAAACGGAAAAAGTATAATTTCATTTAAGAAAAAGTGTTAAACTTTCGTTATTTTTTGAAAATCTTGTAGTGATCCAAAATTTTTCCAATTAGTTTTAAATTGGTCAGCTGCAAAGCTGGTTTAATATGTTAAAGCACTAACAGTTAATTTTTTGTTTTTTCACGCGGTATAAGCAAAATAGTTTCTTACACAATCATGATGCGTAGCTGACCGCTGGGAAGGAAAAGTTGTCTTTTTTCATCAATTTAAAATTTTTTTTTAAATCCTTGTCGATTATTTACGTCAACTAATTAGCCATATTAAGGTTTTGCAATAATTAAAAAAAATTGGCATCAAATAGTTAAAAAAAATCCGTTGTTGCGTAGCTGACTGCCAAAACTTAACATTTAAATGTCGCAAATTTTGTCAATTTTTTTAAATGCAACAAATAGTTTTGCCCAAATATTTTGAACTTCGAAACATTTATAGTCAATTAGAAATTATTTAAAACTCCAAAAGACTTTATAGTCATTATAAAGATATGGAATCACTGCAGGAACCAGTTGCTTGCGCATCCAATGAAAATAACAAAGGTGAGCATTGTGTTTTTATAGAGTTTTTAAGTAATTTTTACATTTATTTGAATGTTTACTTTTTTTATTACAGCCATAAAGATAAAAAATAGAAAAGCAATGAATCAAAAGAATTACATGAGTAGCAATCATGAAGAAAAGAAATTCAAAGCTAAAGAAAATGCTAGACTTCGAAGACAAAGATGGAAAAAAGATTTTCGAAAAATTGCAGCTGAAAGATTAAAAAGTTTAGAAAGAATGAGAAAATTTCGACTGCGGCAAAAAGACGCATCTTTATCTCTCGAATCAAATCACTCATCATTTGCAAATGTGCAAGTTAAAGGAAAGTATATAAAAAAATTGAATCGCTCTCTTCCCAAAAGTCTTGTTCAGAAAAAGGAACTGTTGTGTTGTTTACTCAATGAAACTCAACCATTAACTTACTCAATTCCTAAATCAAAAAAAAGTCTCAGAGAAAAAGACTTAGTGGTTATACAAAATTTTTTTTGTGACAATGAAATAAGTCAAATATCCCCAAGAACAGTAGATTATACTTCTGTAGTGATAGGAGAAAAAAAGGTGCGTGTTCAAATTCGACACATGATATATACGCTAAATTAAGCCTGTCAAAATTTTGTCAGTTGAGACCAGTTTATGTTCGATGTGTATCATCAATTCCTCATAACGTGTGCGTTTGCATGTTACATGAAAATATGTGTTATGCTCTTGAATCACTTTCGCGGGGTTCAGATATATTCACTACAATTAAAACGGGAAACTCTATGATTCTAAACTTTATTTGTGAAAAACCAACAAAACAATGCTTCAATGCCGTTTGCAAAGAATGTACTGTTTGTAATATGTTTGATAAACTATTACTTCAGTTCAATCAATTTGAGTTAGATGTTTCATGGAATCAGTAACAGAAACCTCAAGCAAAATTGTATATCAAAATAGAAAAGGTTAAAAAAGAAGGAACAATTGCAGTTTTATTATCACATATTAAAGAAATGTGTGCAAAGTTTATTATTCATTGTAATGTCAAGAGCAGTCAATCGTCCGTATTTAAATTTAATATAGAATCAGCAATTCAAAAAGACTCAAATAAGGCTGTTATTCAAGTTGACTTGGCAGAAAATTATACTTGTATTTACCAAAACGAAACGCAAGCAGCTCATTTCGGTCAAAATCACATTTCTATATTTACAGTTTGGCATCGTCAAATTAAATCTTTTGCGCTAGTTTGTGATTCAAGCGATCATACAAAATTATCTGTTGTTCCAAACATAAATAAAATTATCGAGCTTCTATCAGACGATATTACAGAAGTTCATATTTTCAGTGATAACGCAACATCACAATTTAAAAATAAATATAGTTTGGCATCAATGAAAATTTTAGAAAAAAAGCATACAATTAAAATGCACTGGCATTTTTTTGCTGCAATGCATGGAAAAGGAGTTGTGGATGGAATTGGAGCCACTGTAAATTGTGTTGCCAGAAAAAATGTTTTAACTGAAAAATATATAATTTCTAGTGCTAGCGATTTGGCAGCCGCAACAAACAATTTAAAAATTACCGTTATATTACTGACTGATAAAGAAAAGCTAGAGATAAACAACTCTCTTGGTTTGAGCACCTTTTTTAAGAAAACAAAAAAAATTAAAGAATTGCATAAATGCCATTACTTTCAGGTTTTAGACGGTAACGTTGTAGGTGAGCAGCTTTCGCCAAATATTGCATAATATCAAAGGAATAGAAGCGTCTAGACATTTAGCAGTGATCAAGTAATTTAAAAATCACCTTAAAAAGCTGTAAAAATTTCTTAATAAAAGCCATAAATAAATATTAGATTTGTTTTGTTTTGCGTAGCTGATTGTTGCGTAGCTGACTGCATGATTTCTTAAAACGTTTTTTTTTACCTGTTATTGTTATTCTATTGAAAGTCTTACTTATTTTTTTCAATACTTTTCAAGTTTTCTTGGGGTGACTTATTTTGCGCAACTAAGCACGAAAGGTTTATTCAGTTTATCCCTAATACATTTCGATCAACAACAACAGCTTACACGTTTCAAGAATTTCTAGTTGTTGCTTTTTAAATTATTTTAGTTGTTCAATTATTGTCCAAATACTTGATGCTTTTAAAGCTCTGAAGATCAAAGTTCCAAAGTAAATGCAAGTAAAATGAATGTATTTATATACATCTTTGAGTTAAAAACGTTTATATAATAAGGTTGTGAACAGATAAAAATATCAAGAGTACATTTAAAAGGAAATTGTATTACCTACCCCCTAGCCCCATTATTTAAAAAAGTGAGAGTTCTGAAGCTTCTAAAGCCCCCTCCCCCTTTTCCACCCCGGGGTCCAGGTTTCTTTTAATGTAAAATTTTCTTTATAAACTTTATAAATAAATTTATTTGTTTCTAAATACAAGCTAGATTAGTTTTGGGTTTTAATTTGAATTATAATAAAAATTTGCATGTTGCGCGGCTGATTGTTGCGTAGCTGACCGCATAGTTTTTTGAAAACTTTTTATTTGACGTGTAATTAATATTATATTAAAATTTTTTTATAAATATAACTTCAATGAAATAATTGTTTTTGAAGAAAAAAACGTTTTTATAAAAAAATAAATTATAGATTCGGAGAAAAAATAATTCAAACTTTAAATTAAAAAAACAAGCTTTTTTGCGCGTTGCGTAGCTGACCGCTGTCTTTTATTTCTATTTTACTCAAATTGTCTTCTTATCCTTTTTTTTTTTGTGAATAATAATAAAAAAGGATAACTTGAGTGTAAACGTAAAAAAAAATTAAAAATTATAATATAATGAGTCAGTTAAATTTTTAAAAACATGTTGGGCTCGTTGCGTAGCTGACCATAGAACTCTACATATATATATATATATATATATATATATATATATATATATATATATATATATATATATATATATATATATAAACACACACACACACATATATATAAATATATGTATATATATATATATATATATATATATATATATATATATATATATATATATATATATATATACTTGCAAGCTAACCAAATAAAAAAACTGAATCAAAAGTAGCAATTATAATAATAATTTATACTTTTAATCAGCCAACTCAAAAATGATTCTGGTGAAGTTTTGTCAAAAACAAGCCATATTCCTCACCAGAAATCCGAAACTTTTTATCAGGTGAAAAACCTTAAGCATCAATCTCTTAAGCATCAATTATCTTCTCAAATTCTTGATGCATTGTCTAGCTGAAATATGGCTGAGCCCTTCAGGTAAGCAAATTAACTTTTCTCAAATCAATAGTTACGCTTGCATAATCATATGGGTGGTGACACTGTTATAAATACAGAATAAAAAATATTCAAATAAAACAGAACAAAGAAAACCAACTACAAAACCCCCATCAAACTTAGTACCTATAGAAATTGAATTATCGCTCAACTACACCTGAAACACTTGCCCAGAGGATACTCCTTCAGTTTAATAATGTGTCTACATCCAGGTTTAGTCAAAAAGTGCAAATAGCAACGCATCATATCATCTTACAATAATAACTATCCAACAATAACTAGCAGCACAATCAACAACAAAATGGTCAACATTTTACCAAGAAATCTGAATGATTTTCCTACTGACTTATTAACCATTCTCACTGACTCTAAAACGTTTGGCATGGGGGCTAAAATAAATAAAAAGTTAATATTGAAAACCTATATAAAAGCATTTGTTTTTCGATTTTTAACCTTATTACTTAGAATTCAAATAAAGCGTTTATTTTGCCATTTTTATTCGAAGTATTTTTTTCAAAATTTAAATAAAAAAATTTGTTTTTCTTTTTTGATTTAATTATTTAAAATTTAGCATTTTTTTGGTAATTTTTACTTCATTTGAAATATTAAACAAAATAAACTTTTATAATAATGCTCACTGTAAATTAAAAACAGTAAAGACTTTAGACAAGTGTAATTATTAATATTATTTATCGTAATAAAACTGAAACAACTTACATTCAAAGAATAATTGTATGCAGAACAGTAACAACATTAATTTTTTAAAAATTGAAAGGATTTTCTTCACCTTTTTATTTATTTTTGTTCACACATGAGCAGTTAGACTAGGAGTTATTTAAAACTGAAATTTTTAAAGATGTTCTAGACAGATTTCAGGACTGATTACAGATGACTGAAAACTTTTTTTTCTTTGTTTTGATCCCAACTATACTGTGTGAGGTCACTCTAGCATGGGGCGAGTTCACTATATGATTTTATTGTTGTTATATGTATTTACTTTTTGGTTCAGGTGCAAATATATAATACATAATCAAGAATATTTTAGAACATTGTGAAGTATTTTGGAATACTTTGGATAAACTTGTAAATTGGATAAATCTTGTTTTTCAGTGCAAGATTACACACCTTACAGAGAGGAAGGAAAGTGCAAGGCATTTAATCACTTTTAAACCACAATAAAATGTCTTATTAAAAATCTAGAAATAATGTAAAATCAAACAGGTGTATTTGGATAAAGAATTTTCCCTCGTTTTTTAAACAGAAAAGGGATCCCAGGATTCCATCTGTTGAAAACCAATCTCACAAAGATGACGACAAACAATCAAAATCTTGAAGACTTCACTTTTCTGTTCAATAGCAAGAAAAGACAACTGGATTGAATCAAAACTATGATTACAAAAATAGATTTATCTATAGAAAATAGAAGGAAATCTATACACTATTATCTAGCACACTCATCAGGGAGAAACTCAATAGTCTGACTGATCTAAAACAAAAAGAAATTGTCTAATAACTTTATTGCAACACTTTCTTATTTATTTGATGTTAACAATGTTAACGGAAAATGTAAAAGCACAAAAAATAAAGAGTTCTATCACAAAAAATAGTAAAGGAAAGATTGGTTATTTAATGGTCAAAAAAGTCCCTTTGAATTCAATCCACACAAGAAA